GCATGCGACTACGTTCGCCTCGTGTCATTCAGAAACGTGCGAGGATACGACGTCTCGAGAAAAAAGTCACGATTTCGGACGAGCAAACATGGATCGTTGCAGGTCAAGCGCTGGCAACAATCCAAACTACATTTCGACACCATTGCGAGAAAGAATCGTCACGTAAACCCGTGCTGCCACCTACAGGAACGATTTTTTGATTACTTGGCTGCAACTGCGGGATGCCACTTATTACATTTTATCCACTTATCGATGTCGGCATATGAACTAATGAGAAATAAACCATCTTTAGCATTTTAAACCCCTTATATATATAAATAAATACATATATATATATACATATATATATAAGGAATATAAAGACAGGCAATGGGCAGTATGCTAAAATCAGGGAGCAATCTTGACAGTAAGTTGCGCATAAAATGCATTTGCACCCTTTGAAATATGATCAATTTCAATCTAATCCAAGAATGATGAATTGCTTAAATGTTATTATTTAAGCAATACAAACCGAATGGTAATTCTGACAGATTCAAAAAGTCATCATGTTAATGATGAGGAGTAATTAAAACGAATAATCTTTCATCTAAAAAGAAAACGGCAATCACTCAGATGATTTTTTTAAGTTCGACAAAATGCTTTAAGAGTATCGAAATACTCTCCCTTGGTCCACGCGCAAACGATGTTATACCGAGACACCTTTTGTGTAGTTAGGATACTATTTAAGGAATATAAGTTAACATGCCAGGCAGATGCTACAATTCACATCTCCGAAAATCGACCGAAAAAAGTTGCCAAGCAAGAAACCATGATATTAGCTTCGCAGACATAATCCATGCTAATTAGTTAATACACCCATTCAACCGCAGAGACACGAGCTGACTCAGATCGGAATTCCAACGAAGCAAAGCTATAAGAAATCAACCATACACAAAACGCAACTGCTGTGTAACACTTGCTGTCGCCGCTGCGCCTTGCACATCAAAACAACAACAACAACAACAACAACAACAACAACCACGTCTATCAGAAGGTTGCTCAGCCGAAAACCACACGCACACCAAGACGCCAATCACAGAGAGGACCATAGTTAAGCTTTCGTGCGATCGGCACGTACGTAACATACGTAACGTCGCGCGCTGCGTAAACGGGCGCCCGTGACGGCCACGTAAGTCTCTTAAGCCCGCGAACACATCACTTACACACATAGGTGCCACACAACAACCTGTGGAGCCGCACCGCCCCATCATTCGCGCGCACGAGAAAAACAAAACAAGAGGCGTGCGTGGACAAGTATCGCGTCTTCGTATCGCCGTCGCATTCACATGGGATTGCGACTTGTCGGCGGGACGCATCATGAGGGACACTTCGGTCGCCCACAACTGCATGCCTGGCGCACATGCACGCGAATGCGGCTAATTTTCGGGGGTCTATCGGAAAGCATCGCCTTATTCCGTGTTGCTTTACCTTTATCACTGAACTATCGGGTTTAAGTTAGGACGCATATCGAGCGATTCTGAACGTGCAAAGCAGATGACTGAATCATGGTGAAAGGTATATAGGTGGGCGTATATACACGTGTGCATGCGCAATGTGTAATTATCATTTCTGAGTTCTTGCATTATAGCATCATGCCTGGTGCATATATGTGCATGGAAGAAAATAACCTACAGATCAATCCCAAACTCGCGGGTAAAATCATAAGCTTTGTCAAGTTACCTCGAAATGTTAATACAAAAATCTGATGTTTGAAATTTTGACGACATGTCCGGCAATTCAAAACGAATAAAGAAGACGACCGATTCATTGTGAAAAAACGTATATATGTGCACGCATGTATGCCCGAGCATAATAGTATGCACGTAGAACTATCTTTGGTGGCCTCATTATATTATAGCAGATCAGCTGCATTGCTTTGGCAAGTAACTGTGCCAATTACCCAACTAAACATACTCTGCACTTTGGTTTTCACTTGAATCCATAGCATATATACATACGCACACGCGCACGTGGATCAGTAACCCACAGCAAGTTTTTATAAGCTAGATGTGCCAAACAGAACATAAATATAGATCATGACCTTGGTATTGTGGACTTAAGCTTGCACATTTACGATGTAACCCTGTAACCAATTCCCAGCTATTAGCATAACAAACAGAACAATTGCAAATTCTTTGAACAACATTAAAAACTTTGATTACGGACACTGGGAAGTATTAAATTATATGTTTGTTATTAGAGCGAACTGTGCAAAAATGTAACTTTGACTTGCTGCACTTTCTAGAGGAATCATCAATGATACCGAGGTACTCCAAAGAATCATCAGATGACCTCATTACAAATACGGCTCATCGAATCGTATTGTGCAAAAACCAACTAGATGCTGAAGCAAATTACACGTCTAGCTTATTCTAGATTTATTTACTTAAAACCAAGCATTCAAGTACTAGTCAGCCCAGTTCAAAATTGGACAATGTGCAATTCTAGTTAAAGGCATACTAGGCCCATTGATTATGCAATGTTGACGAATGCTAGAGTAACTGGCACCTTGTGTAGTTAATAAGTACATAACCTTATAGCCAAACGCGTATTAATTTGTCCAATATCACTGCTGGTTACATTACAAACAAGACTTGAAATCGGTTGTTGATATGTATCAACGTATCATTTACGTGCCGTAAATGTCATCCAGGAGTCAAGCGATGACGTAAACATTTGTGCGGCCCGTATGTTTTGGACGCCAGATGAAATAGAGGTGTCAGCGGTGTAACCACGGCCACGGACTAAACATGGAAATGGAGTAAAACACACGTACTAATCAAGGACGCACGTGGACAGTCCTGACAAAAGGTTCCTTATCACGAGCGTACATGTTTACGAAATCACTGATGATAGCACTGCGTACGGCCGAGCATGTGTGCGAAAATGTCCGGTGCACTATAAATCTGTATCACACCCGCTTCACCAGAAGCGGTTTGAAACTGTAAACAACTGATTTTTGGACTGCGGATTTCAATTAGACATTTCTTAGTAACCAGCAGTGATATTGGACAAACTAATACGCGTTTGGATGTAAGGTTATGTACTTATTAACTACACAAGGTGCCAGTTACTCTAGCATTCGACAACATTGCATAATCAATGGGCTTAGTATGCCTTTAATACATGTTTAACAACCCCAGTGCTATACGATACTGGCAATAAATACAAGTGTATTTATTTAGTCGAGCCGATCCCATCTACATTCATCAGCCACAGCATCTATCTCCCTGACAACTGCTGCCATTACTTCACTAAATGGTTCTCTCTTGATGTCTGCCACAGAATTACAATATCTATAAACATCACCAAAAAATAATCCTCATTTACACACGCAACTTTACGAAATCATAAGGGGCATGCATGTCATGTTCTCTCTTTGCATGTTTTCTCTACTGTCCCCTCTAATGAACTCACCCACGTGCAAATACGTAAACTCGCACTGCGTAACATTGCATCATTTATTTTACGTTAAGGAAGATATAATTAATTTAGTGCGCTGTCAGGATGAATATAAATATTCTAATTTATTTTGCTGGATCTACTAATTTCTGTCAGCAGACTGAGCTATACTTGAAATGTTTACATCACTGGGAGCTGCATGCCAATACACTGCTAACATAAGCACTGGCAGCAAGAACAAGTCCGCACCAGCTACAGCACACACGCCGCCATTGACTATATATATACTACATGGTGCCTAACTCGCCGCCGCACGAACCACAACTCACCGTTTTCAATCAGTTACAACTCCGGTGTTCCTGCAGGTGACGCCACTTTCCAACTATTGTTGGAATCGCGGAAGACTGCTGAACAAGCTACACCCGCCATTTTTGACAATCGGCCCGCCACAATGCGCTCAAATCACAGAAATTCCTCAAATATACATGCGAAATGATCCTTTGCATGCTACCTATGAAGAAGGCGGCCGGGCCGGCTGCGCTGATTGGCTGAAGCAAGTTTAATGTGCAGACAGGCTGCGCAACTACGCAACTGACTTGCTGGCCGTTGCTGCAGCCAATCAGCGCAGCCAGCCCTGCCGCCGTCTTCATAGGTAGCATGCGAAGGATCATTTCGCATGTATATTTGAGGAATTTCTGTGATTTGAGCGCATTGTGGCAGGCCGATTGTCAAAAATGGCGGGTGTAGCTTGTTCAGCAGTCTTCCGCGATTCCAACAATAGTTGGAAAGTGGCGTCACCTGCAGGAACACCGGAGTTGTAACTGATTGAAAACGGTGAGTTGTGGTCCGTGCGGCGGCGAGTTAGGCACCATGTAGTATATATATAGTCAATGGCGGCGTGTGTGCTGTAGCTGGTGCGGACTTGTTCTTGCTGCCAGTGAACATAAGGCGATCTGCACAAGCGTGCTCACTCCTCTACATTGCGTTTTTGCAACTACAACTATTAAAGAAGGGTTAAAAGAACACAAATGTTGCATTACATATGTGTATATTGACTATTATGTGTTTAGAATGCATATTGCAAATCAATAACATTAACACACACAATTAAAATACGCTATAGCAAGTACAGCAGGACATTACATTTACTGCAAACAAAAATTCACGCACAGATGGAAGCTCAAAGCAATAAATCATAGCCATTTCTATATCAACTAAACTTTGTTCCTATAACATGTTGTTGATTCTGCCTCATGTGATAGGCTGTCAGTGTCAGTGTCATGATTCATGAAGTTCTATCACACTGGCGGAACTAATCAGAACATGGGTCCTGATACTTGAGGGGTTGTAACCATGCACGCCAATACTAGTACGTGTAGCACACTGATGACTGTCACGGTTGTTTTCCGTAGCTCTATTAATTATATAATTGACGTTATTTGTGTCACCTCATGAAGATAGATACAGTGCGAATGTCGCAGCACTCACATGATACAGCATACCAATGTAATTTCAGCTGCTGAATTAATACCAATGGCAATGGGACAAAATTGACTCACCAGTTTCTCCAATATCGTCCGTGTCTTCCTGACAGAGAACTACGTCTGAAATTAAAAGTAAACCGTGAGAATAAAGTCGCAAGAAGAATGGATTTTTCGCGTTGGAAAAAATCCCCTACACACTCACCCGCCATGTTGGATTCATTCCCGATGTTAGGTACGATGCGATTGGCTATATTCCTATCCAAGAGAAATCAACCAGCGGCAGCCATTCGTGCATAGTATACAGGTCAGTCCTCCGCCACGCCCACACAGCGAAGTCATCAATGCATAATTAAAGAGAAGATTTAAATGACCAATATTTAAATACCAAAAAACACAGAAGATTAGGGATATGAAAAACGTGTTATTATTATCGGCGCGAAAATCACATGCAGACTTAGAGGAATATTATTTGAAGAAAGACCGTTTTATAAGCAGGGTAACCCCAAATATCAAATCAGTGCATATATCAAGCATAATTAAGTGTGTGAATGTTCTCTATATATAATTCTGTGTATAATTAACCTATTGATACGCGTTTGAATCTATAAGTATAAGACTTGGAAAAATCTTCACATAAGATTTGGGACCAGCACTGCAAAAGAAATTTGTGATTGCAACAATTTTAATTTTATATTATCGCGGGAGTAGAAATTATGCGTCACATGCGCATACGCGCGGGTACGCAGGCACACGCAAACCACACACGCGCATTATAATGCAGCCCTAGAAATATATAGACTATATATACATAATATAGAAAGAAATATATAGGCTAACTAGTATATTTCTATGGTTTAATGATTGCAGCAAGTTAGCAATTCTATTAGCAATACGATTTAAAGTACAAATAATACAAACAAAAACGTATAAATAAATGATGGTTTTAATTACAGTAGTTTCAAATTACAATAACATGTAGATACAGGTTTAATGAAGGTTCGTAAGACAAGTGTTTCTCCTTTATCATGAGTGAAAGATATTCCAGCCTATAAAAACCAGTGTACAGACAGCATACATTGCAAATTAATTACCCCCCCCCATAATTAACTCCCATCACCGTTGTAATTCATGTCATCCTAGGATCAATGTCTTTAACGGTGAATTTGCAAACAGTAACAACTATGGGTGTTTATGGTAGAAATATATAATTCTACCATTTATACTACTATATAAGTTAAGTCATAAACCAACCAGTTAATTATAATTATTTTTATCAATTACTCGCAGACACGATCGATACTTTATACTAGCAGATCAGCAAACAACCAATAATATCAAAATTTCAAATGTAATTAATTCATTAGTTTGTGTCTAGAAAATGTAATTGAAGTTAATCAACGTGGTGTTTAGAGACAAACAATAGAAAATGTAGATATCATGAGAATAACAATAATTAAAAACATGATTTGGCTTAATAGGCAAACATATGGCAGTATAAAATGCACAAGAAATGTTTCAATTAAATCCCTCCACGAATTTTCAGCTCAATATGGCAGCCACGTTAGGAGAAGCTTTTTTTAATTAATGAGAAAAATATTATTAGGGCCTTTGGAGTGTGGAACCCCAGGCTACACTGTCTTCACCAGACTTAACCCTTCATCTAAACCAACTTTCAGTATCCTACCTTCTAATTGAACCGATGTACTTTTGCACACATAATATACACTGCACATATGCACGCATACACACCCACATGTATGCACCCATGTACTCACCAACACGCACGCACGCACCTACGCACGCACGCACACACCCCATGTTTATAAATATGTATATACATACACATATATATATATACTATATATATATATATATATATATATATATATATATATATATATATTGTAGATATTATACACATCTACTGAGTTTTTTTTCCAACAAGCACATTATAACAGTGCAATATTATCTTGCAAGCCCATATTTTGTTGCTGTGTATTGTTTGACCTGCACGATCTGACACGTCATTTTTAATTTAGGCATGGTTAAAGCAAATAATTACAGAAATCTAGAATTTTCTAATATTTCACTACCACTCCTTATGAATTAACCAGAGTGCACACAGTTTTAATCAAACTCGTTTTGCTCAGAACTTCATTCTGTGCATGTGTAGAAAATCGAATAAATATAAAATTATTTGATAGATCTATGTACAACGTGGTGCCTTTGAGCCATCACAATCTCATTGTCACCTCGCCTCCTCCTCGCGGTCTATGATGTCAGCTCTACAGATGGGACATTGCTCAAGCTGTATCGAACACATCATGCAAAACCCACTGAAACGACAAATAATTTAAAAGTCATCAATTTCAACAAAAATGCCCAATAGATGGCAGTGCTGAAGACAAACCAAAAAACGATGGCATCTGTGTCTACGAATAAGGTCATTCAAACGTTGCTAATGACAATTTTAGCACATTGCAATTTGCAATGCTTTTTGAAAACAAAAACAAAAATTTCTTTTTTACACACTCTAAGACATTTTAGTAGGTATGGATTTATCTTTATCACTTGTTGCACCTATACTTACGTGTGTTTACATGGTACCAGTTTGACGTTGGCCATCTGATCGAAGCACAGACTGCAGGCATCTTCCTTGATGCTCATCTGTCTCAGCAATTCAAGCCTGTTTTTCCTGTCATGCATAAATTTGTAAATAGCAGGACACTGCTAAGAAACCTCTTAATCCCCTCACTAGAAACAATATTCACTCATTCATTAATTCATTCAGTGATCACGAATTTACAGACAAAATGAATTTTCTGGATAAGAGCTCATTATTTCAGTGAATTCACTTTAAAATCAGTCCTCCTAATGTTATGTAAGACAATGCAGTTTCTGCTACATCAGTCCTCTCATACGGTAACATTCGTGTACCCAAATCTAAGTTGAAGACGGTTACTAGAATCAAATAATTGGTATATCATCAAGCACACCCTCACCAACACAGGTTACAAGAATGGAGCTTCAAAGTTGGGCTCAAACCTACTTTATGAGCTTGTGCATAAATCTTCATCATTATCACCAGCACTTTAAATCCTTCCCCTAACTCAATAACCCCATAGGCAGTTACCCTAACCCTAAACCTAACCTTAACCTAAACCAAACCGTAATCCCATGGTAAAAATCTGGGGCCCTAACGGCAGCCGTTGACCCTCACAATCACACGAGCCGTGTGGCAGCACTCACCGAGGCACCTGGATCTTCTCCTCGAGCGGTAGGGAGCCGTGATCGTTGAACACCTGGAATTGCACGGCGGCCGGCGGAAACTTGAACGGCTGGAGCCCGAAGTTGAACTCGCACTGCTGAAACGACATGAAGCTGGCCGCCGCGAAGAAACCGGACCTGCAACGACACGTGGCGCCCCTTCGTCACTCACCGCCGCTCTCCCACGCGACTCGCAGAACGACGGCAGCAGGCCAAGATTTCGCGCAGACACATCGTTTGGAGGACTAAAACTGAAGATGTCCGCGTTAGGTCGTGAGGAGTTACGACCTGAAATGTCTTCAATCACAAGTGGAACACGTAGCTTGCATACAACTGAACACCTGTGGGTACGCACGCAGGTGATGTACCGCTCAGGTAAAAACGTGTACCTGGCATAGCCGAACACCTGCGGGCACGGCGGCAGGTCCTTCCCGTTCAGATAAAACAGGACGCGTTGATTGTCCAGGTCCAGTAGGGAACCCAGCACGTCGCCAGGCACCCAGCAGGGATGCTGGTGCGGCACGCTCTTGGCATTGTGCCAGATCAGCTGCCGACAGCCATCATACGCCAACGAGAACTCATCGTCGCCAATCCCGTAGCCCTCCTGCAGCGACATAAGACACGTGTGTGTGAACAACCCTGCGCTAACTCTATTCCCGCCAGTAACGGCTCTAGTATGGCATCTAGTGGCAAGATCGTCGAATTTACGTGGGAGTAGTGGCGTGATATATGCACTCTGTAGAGCAGGTCCCAGAACTCACTTCTATCAATTCACATTGGCAGTCTTTCCTCACATCTAACAACCTGACAGACATGCGATGAAACTATAGGATGAAAAGTGCTCATTCGCATAGCCACCCGAGAGATGGAGACGTGGAACGAGAACCCACTATTGCATCGCTCGCAACTATCTTCTCAGAGAGTACTTACGTGGTTGAAAAACTTGCTATCTTTAGTTGCCCAGCCTATCTGCATGACCCCGTCTGTGATCACTGTGACCTCGTAGTACCAAACGCCGCTGTCCGCTTGGAACGTGCAGCGAACGCTTTCGAACGACGATGCATCGCAGCGCGCCTACAACACGCCAAACGAAACGGTAAGGTTCGGTTCAGATTGCAGAGACATTCGCATTCACAGTAGACGTGGAGTTATTAGTTGCATCAGCAGAGATGGGAATACCAACTACACGTCCGAAGAAATAGCATATTAATGGCATTGATTTTGAATTTCATGATATATGTGTAGATATATGATATATATTATTTGTGTGAGAGTGCGTGCGTGCGTGCGTGCGTGCATATTAACTGGACTTGGATAATCGAAATACCACTACCTGTCATTAATATAGTAAAATGTAATTGAGCAGACCGAAACAGAATGGATGGAAAGCAATGCTGACACATTGTCAGACAACGTAGTAACGTACCGTGAGGCCATTAGCTGAGATTTTTAAATATTCGCTGACATCATTGCTGTTCAGCATAGCATTGATGCTGCTGTAGTCAACGTTGAAGTAAGACAGTTGCCGTCCCTTCGCCGTAACTGCATCGCAAAACAAGAGTCAATGCCATACAAAAACTGCTCCTACACTCAGCTTGATGGTCAAAGCACAGGATGCGTGGATTATTACAATGAAATCTATTAATTCGATTCATAATGTGATGTAAATCGATAAGGATCTGGTCTAGTCACACACGTGCTCTCACGTGGGTAGCCATGACTGCAGACGACTTACACAGATTGTCTAAGCACCACTGCGCGCAGAACGCAACCTGGCGTTTAAGAAAGTTTTTGTTATCCCGGCCCCAACTCTCTAGCGCTTGTATTGGATGAGCTTCGCTTCGCTCAAGTCCGGCAACGATCGTCCACTTGTTCTCGCCTGCAAAAGTTACACTCTGTTTAATGACATGCCATAATATGGAGATTCCAAATCACGTGTAGAGCAGTGCAACGATGACCAATGGGTAAAATCATTATCGTAAAGAGTAGAAAATCGATGGCAAAAGGACTTACTAGTCTGAGCAAACTTCTCCAGGGCTATGAGTGAATACAGTATCACAGATGGAACGCAGCTTGTATGCTGAAACACATGGCTATTATGAGACACTGCCACACTATGTGACCTCCACACAGACAGTGCTGGTCACTCACACACTCCTAATAACATCCAACTATGGTTAGCACATAATCCATCTGCTCTCTTTTAAAAAAACTGTGCGAGCTGAACGCTGCACATCCTAATAGGGTAAATCAGTCCATGAGTCTCATAAGAACGGTTTCTTCGACAAGTGATTGAGGTGAGCAGCGATCGACATACCAAGTTAGCGAGGAGGTAATCTAACGTGTCGGCAGTCAACAGCGAGATGCTCGTTGGTCCTGCAAAACGAAAACGTCGGCACCATAAACCACAACAATGACGACGACGACAGAGCAATGCGAAACAAATGCACGACACGATTTTTTCTTTAATCAATTGAATTTTTCTACCCGCTACACCGATAACCGACTCTGACACTTCGGGTCGCGACACTCGGAGGGCCTGGTTCAAGCAGTGCCACCTACCTACCTGCAAGCTTCTCGGCAATGCAGCCAAGCACGACGGCGATGTTGCGATGTCTTGTCGGTGACTGTCGACCAGTGATGGACAGGTCGCGTGACAAGTGAAGCTGGTCAGAGAGCTTCATCACACTCTCCTGCGAAGCAAACGAACGAGGTAAAACCCTAGGGCCATAAAAGGCCCATAATTAATAAAATCTTTGTTTGCCCTCACCCGACCCAGGCTGAAAAGTTTGGGTAGGTAGGTAGGCTTTTTTTTAGGGGGGTCTTTTGACAAATTCAGCATGGTGTCTAGATCTACATGCTCAGGTGTGCTTGTGTGGAGATTTCTTTTATGTTGATGTTTGTTTTAAAAAATGTATTGCCTACAGATTTATGTATCTCTATTATGTACTCTTGATATAATGTACAGTGATACAATTTGCACACGCAAAAAGAATGAAAAAAATCAATAAATTTTTTTGAGTCGGTCCTATTTTGGCGAGTGAGTCGGGTGAGGGCAAACAAACAATATTTTTATAATGGCCCAAACGAACGAGGTAAAACCCTGGAGGCTTCTGCATGAGAGAAAGATGTGCAGCACCCTCAGCCGTGATGTAAGGGGGACCTTGTTTCCACTGCGTACTTGCACGTCGCACGTCACACACCTTGCATGGCTGCATACAGAAATTGTACACCAGTGCATGCCAGTTTACTAGTATTGATCTTCCCTGCCCATCGGTTATGCACCTTCACGACTATAGCACGACTACATATCATGTTCTCACTATATATCCGTGCGTTCTTGCATGCTGGTGTGCATGTTAGATAAAGGTTGTATCAATTTATCTGCGTTTGTTTGCCAAAATGTGATGATTTTCGATAATTAGGCCCTTGGGTACTGTCTGAAACACATGTCATTACCGACTTCTCATCTTCATCTGACTCAATTTCGGCCCAGTCTCGCCAGGGTGTGGCCAACTGCCCTCATCTCCACATCCTATCCCAGATGCCCCAAAAATGTACTTTTTCTCAAATAACTTCAACCTAGTAATTGAACATCTCCATTTCTGACTGAATTAACAACCCAATGACACACACAGACACACACATGACCAGGCTTTACACACCTGCTTTTGCATCTTACACCTCCATCTAGCCCACTCTCATTTTGGATGGTAGGGAACAAATACCTGCTTTCACATCCCACACCTATACCTAGCAACATGCTTACCTTATGTGATAGGGGACACATACCTACCTACATTCCACATATCTATCTAGCAACCTGCACCCCCTCATGTGGCAAGGGATACCAGCTTCCACATCACACATATCTACCTAGTAACATGCTTATCTCGTTTGATAGAGGAGAGTGGTGGGACGATTCATCAATATATTGAGGTATCGTGATACAAACCTCAGGGCGTCAAGTGACAAGTGACACTCAAAAAATAGGAAAATAGGAATTTCAGATGTGAAAAAATAGGAGGAAAATAGGAATTTTTGTGAGAAAATATATGTTAAATAGGAATATTTGTTGCATTAGATGGCCTCTCAACACCCCTACAGCCATGCCGATCCACCACAAATGGTTTTATTAATATACACATCACATGCGAACAATATTTTGAGGTTTTAATTAGAAATCCATGTTAAAATTGATAAGGAGTTTATACATGCATAAGCACCCATACATGTAGACTACTCCAAAATAGTATGATGTACATGTATACATGGGCGGATACGGCTTTTTGAAAAAGGGGGGGGGAGTAAGAAATAAAGAGCACTTTTATAAAAAGGTACTTATGCGACGTGTCTAAGGCACATTGCCACTTAGGTGGGGGGGGGGGGTTAGGAGGACCTCCCCCAAGAAAAATTTAAAAAATTGGTGCATTCTGAGAGCATCTGAGCAGTAATTTTGATGTCTAGAATGCAAGATGGAATTCCAAATTTTTAAGCAGAAAATTATCTTTTATGTGTTTTTCGTTTTTTTGGGTAAAAAAGGTGGGGTCCGGACTTCCTGGACCCCCCCTCTGGATACACATACCACATCCAACTGAGAAACAACTTTACTGAAATAACATCTGTGATAGTAAAGAGTATATTCCGTTAATTTAAAGTAAGGGGTGGGAGTCTGGGGGTCCTCCCCCAGGAAATTAAAAAAAAAAATTGGGTCACCTGAATTGTAAATTTCTGCATTCTGAGAAGGATACATACAATTCTGGATTCAGAAAAATGAAAAGCCCTCAAAAATAGGAAAAAATAGGAATTTGTCCAGAAAATAGGAGAAAATAGGAATTGTCCAGAAAATAGGAAAAAATAGGAACTTGACACGCTGAAACCTTGATGATAAACATATCAATACGTTTTACCATTCACAATACACATCCCGATACTCTACTGACTAAAATCCATATCATTTAGTATCGTAGTTTTATCCAAAAACAACAGAAACGTAATACAGTTCGCATTTCGATAGCAGTTGTTTACTAAGCACTCCACAATACTGATTGTAAGCATACACATGGTAGGTAGAGTCTCGGTTTAATGTATGGTTTGCCAGGTAGTTTCTCTTGAAAAGTATCGAGACAAGTGTCGTATCGTCAAGGCTGTATCGTGATACGGATGGCACTATCGTGAGCTTCCCGTATCGTCCCACCCTAGCAGGGGTCACATACCGGCGTCCACATCATACACACCTCTACTTAGCAACATGCTTATCTCATGTGAGCAGGCACACGTGCCTGCTTTTGTATCCCACACAGACACCCAGCTCAACCCCAATACATTTACCTTGGATGGTAGTGGACACTCATCTAGAAGTAGATTGATGACCGCTGGTCCTAGGGGGTCGTCCATGGGAATTACGCTGATCATAGAATTGACCACGGCTATCCAGCCCGACTCGTTATCTGCGATCGTGTGCAGCCTCAGCATTGCCTGCGGTGGTTCTTGAACACTGTTACAATACCGTGTAAATGTAACTACAATATACACAGGGGAGGCCTGCACCATCCTCTCTACTACCCCACAAGTGTTCGATCAGCTTGTCACTTTTTACCGTAGCGATGTAAATTTTGTGATGAAATATGTGACCATAACATTGCACACAGCCAGATAGAATGCCTAAGCAATGTTAAATTAATTTTTATCAAGATTCCAATGGGATGCAATAACACCATCCATACTGAGCATTGGTAATTTTAAAATAAGGTTATATACTATATTTTCTGTCAATATTGACTAATGACAATTGAGATTTGTCACATATTAAGCCTAATTTAACTAAAAATAATTGAAAGGTGAAGCCGTGCTATAGTTTCAGTACACATATCATTAAAAGCAATCTTGTAAAATAAAGTTTAATAAACCCATGTAAAATGTGAACTATGGGATGCTCACTTGTCGACGAGCGACCGGATCACTGCTAGTGTCTCCAGCACCAGCGAGTCGACGGAGGGAACCTTCGCCATGCTCACGTCATCAACGTGATTCGGGTAGTCGACTGTAACCGCCGAGTAGCTGGCATTCGTTACGTCGGCTGAAGATGGATTTCTCTTCTCACGGCATATGCACATCCCCATGTCCATTTATTATGTGCTTCAACTCATTCCTAGGCAGCAACGAAGGATTACTGTCAAGCCTAATGCTGGGTGGATGAGAGCATGCGGTGTATAGCGTTCATCTCTGTATGAAATGAGATCGCTATCTTGTACTTGTGTCTTTTACCACCCTCGCTGTATATGGTGTACTGCTGATTGTATGTAAAAATATGTAACCTAACAGAATAAGGTACATGTAAACCTACTCTTTTGGGTTACATATTTGTATCTTTGCTGAGTGCTGCAAGATGATCGTGTTTATACTGAACTACTGAACACAGACAGAAATCACACACTCCTTTTACTTTTTTTAGTGCACTTCTTGTCGTTTTCTGTGTAATTATTTAGTTAATTGACAAAGTTTTTCTTTCCTTAAAAAAGGTTCTAAAATTACATAATACTTTAAAGATTTACGATTTATTGTTATTTGACTATTTTCATGTAAAACAACTATTATAATTTACAATTTATAGGGTTTAGCATTTGCCATTTGCACACTAGCACTAGCAGCACTGCCAGCAGGCATGTAACCTCCTCATAACCTGATAAGTGATAATCTTCAAAAGTCCTGGAGACTATAACGAAGATGGAGAGAGTGGATCAAGTCGGTAGATCCACACTGCGAATCGCAGCGGAAAAAGTTGTGAATTTGCTATTTACCAAGGATGAAGGCAGTGAATTCCAATACGGAATCACAGAGACAAAGAAGCTAAATTTACTTAAAGGGATCCTTAGAAGTTTGTACATGCCGAAAACAGTGATCACGCTCAGATGAGCGGGTGCAGCGAACAGGCTTCATTAAGCAAGAAGGAATGCCAATTTTCATCTCACCATGATAAATTTTTATAGAAAGTTATGATTTTGAGTGAAGAAAGGCGGACACGAAGGGGAGGCCATTCAAGACGAGCCAAAACAACATCAGTACTATCATCATAGTTTCTGGAGACCCATCTCGCAGCTTTATGCTGAATGGTGTCCAATCTAGAGCAGTTCTGAAGTCTATAGGGGCACCAGGCTGGTGAAGCATATTCTAATATGGGCAGAACCATAGTTTTGAAAGCTAGGGACCGAGTTTTAGAGTCAGCAAAGCTAAGATTACGCCGTAGCATGCCGAAAGATCGGGACGCTTTCTTACAAAATGTAGTAATGTGGGCATTCCAGCGAAGATCGTTACTAATAATAACACCCAAATATTTGTAAAGTAGGGGTAAGAGATAGATATTTTATGATACAACGAGTAAGTAAAAGTCAAGGGTGATTTGGACGCGAGTAATGCGAAGAATTTTACACTTTTCTGTATTGAATGACTACCCCATGATGTTGCCCACTTCTCAGTACGAGTAAGGACCCTCTGGAGGGCTAACTGGTCACTCTTATTGTAGATGGTGCGGTACAGTACAGCGTCGTCAGCAAAGAGCGCGAATAGAAGAAGAAGGTGTCAGTTTCCGCCAACAAATCATTTATAAAGGATAGAGAACAGCAGTGGCCAAGCACTGAACCTTGGGTATACCCGATGTGACAGCGGCCACATCCGACATGCTGCCGTTAACACAGACAATTGAGATCTATCCTTCAAAAGGTCAGAGATCCATTTTAACGTAGTAGTATCCAAACCCAAGTGACCAAGTTGAAGATTAAAAGGTCATGAGGAACCCTATCAAAGGCCTTACTAAAATCTAGGAATACTGCATCAACCTGCTGAGACTTTCTGTCAAGACTTAGTGTCCAGTCATGAAAAACGTTGATTAACTGCATGGGTAACTGTAGAAAACCCGTGCCGAAACCCATGTTGATGATGGGACAGGATATCATGCCTATCGAAATGGTTTATAACAGAAGAGTAGACTATATGCTCAAATGCCTTAGAGCAAAGAGAAGTCAGAGATATTGGGCGATAATTTGACGCAAGGGAAGATCCACCACCTTTATAAACTGGGGTTATAAGAGCCTTTTTCCAATCAAAAGGAAGAGAACCTAGATCGTATGACTGACAAAACAAATTGTGTAGAGAAGGCCCAAGCTCATGCGCAAAATGATGCAGAATAAAACCAGGCACCTTATCGGGACCAGCAGCCTTATGTGGAGATATATTCTTAAGTACCGAGCATACGCCACTTAGGGAGATAACAATTTTGCTCATCAGGGGGAACTTATAATTTAAAGTTGGAGTAGGTGTTACACAAGAAGTAGAGAAGACCGATTTGAATTGATTACTTAGCAAACAAGCCTTCGATGCAGGAGATTCGCAGGAAATACCATCATCACGAAGAAGAGATGGGATACCAGTTTCCCGTTTTTTACACTTCATAAACCTCCAGAAAGGTTTTGCATCTCCATCTGCAAGTTTATCACAAACAATACCATTTAGAAAACTTCGATGGAGTTTACGATTTAATTGCGAGACAAAATTTCTTTGATTGCGATATCTAGACCAGCTAGCGGGCGTTTTTGAACGCCTGGACCTTTGAAACAGGCGATCCCTCTTCCTCATAGATTTCTTTAAGGAGGAGGACAACCAAGGGACCGAAGCCTTATTACGGATAACCTTACGAGGGACATAGGAGTTTACTCCCGAGATGATAGCCTGTTTAATTAGCAACCAATTAGATTCAAGGGATCTCTTTGTCGGATCACTGGAAAAGTATGAGGCATTAAACTCAGTAAAGTGATTTAAAAGTGCTTCTTTATCAGCCTTATCAAAGAGGGGAATCTCACGAGTTCCTAAATTACTTTAATTAGCTGCTTTAACTGGATAAAGATCTAAAGTAAAGATGTCAAAACGCTTACCAATATCTTTCATGGTAGATGTTTGCTTTTGATGGTTGTTATTGTTTAGTTCTCCATGGTACTAATAGTAATAAACTTAGGCTATTTTAATTCATATTTATAAATTATAATTTATATGTGATTTTTCATTATTTGACCACCCATAACAAAACTTCAAAAGCACCAAATCGAATAATAAACAACTTAAGGGGTTATTTAACTGCACGTTTCTATGATAAATGGTAGCTACTACTACAATAAATATCATTTTGCACACACATTCATCTCTTACGCTCTCAGATTATATTAATATTAAATATACCTTTATTCCGGAAACTTGAAGTTTCACCTACTGGTCGCTGCCATGTTGAAGATGCTCATTTGTTAAAATCAAAGTAACTTTTGTCATGCTACGTCATCAGCACATATGTTTAGTGATTTCCTCGTAATTCCTCCTGTAATATCTATGTTTCGACTCATTTATAATAGGAATAAATATATATCATCGAAATATCAAATCATAAAAAAATCAAATCATATCATCTAAATCATATGTACGGGATGTATGCAGGCAAGCAGAAAGTGGGAGACTTTCATGCGTCTCTTTGATAAGATCTCCCTCCCCATTTCTCACTATATTATTACTCCCTCTCCCCTATCTTTTTACTCTATCTCTCTCCCTCTTCTCCCTCCCTGTCTTCCTTTCCCTTGCTCTATCCCGTGTTTGTCACCTCTCTCTCTCTCACTCACTCTCTCACACACATTCTCTCTCTCTCTCTCTCTCTCTCTCTCTCGATCCTCATTCTCGTCTCTCTCTCTCTCTCTCTCTCTCTCTCTCTCTCTCTCTCTCTCTCTCCCTCTCCCTCTCCCTCTCCCTCTCCCTCTCCCTCTCCCTCTCCCTCTCCCTCTCCCTCTCCCTCTCTCCCTCTCTCTCTTTCTCCTGTAGTATGTTCACCAACCCATAGATGACCAACCCAACTTTTTCTGCTTCTCACCGGATTCCATCGGCTTACACTTATATGCAGCCATGCTAGCTCTCGCAGCACGTTTATAAATCTTGCATACAGCCGCATGCAGCCCAGCCGGTGTAGCATGGTAGACCTTTCCACCATTGCGCGTAAACGGTATGGGCATGATTAGCATGGCACTCGCTTAGAGGCCACTGGCACTGTTGTTTCACATATTTGCCCCCATATCACCAGTAGAAAGGTGGCGCAACATAGCAAAATTCGGGGTGTGAAGTTGGTGCCTTACCGACAAACTTTTTTTTATAAGAATAAACTGTCCGAACTTCCTGTTCTAGCTTGCAATGGTCTTTCTTACCATCTTGCTTGGCTTATTACAATTACTGTTTCATGACAGAAGGTATTCAATACATAGCATATCCAAATTATTAACTACCCAGTTCTGATACGCATAGAAACACACAAAATTGCCAATTGAAATGCACAATTTATTTAAATACTTTGAATACACTTGCTGGCTCAAAGCAATTTAATTTACTGTTGTGTCACAAGTTGGCAAAAACCACGATTACCACAAATTTGAATCAACATTTCCACAGATACTTAGATGCCGTACATGCGTAAAGCCGAGATGGACTGGAAACAACAACAAAACCAAACATACAAAACAAAAAATATTTCTATACATGTAAGTGTTATATATACACCATACATCAGGTGCTAGATAACAAATGACAACTTCCTAACATTGGCTTTTACTAGTCCTGTGACGACATGCGTACGCAGCGCAAATAGACCGATCTTCATCACATAAGACATTACAAGAGGATGGAAGAATACGGGATAGGGCAGGGGCAGAGTATCGGAAGAGAATGTGTACTCGTTAGTTTGACTTTGTAACTTGACGATTTGTAACCGACTTTTGTTGACCAGACTGCCAGGTAGCTTTTTATATCGAGTCATAAACTATGAAATTCACAGCCCAGAGGGTCTCGCTACTATTACAAGACAGCTTCCACCTGAACAAAGACTCATATCACCAACTGACTAACACATTACACTAGTGTACAATTTACAGGTATCTTTGTAGCATGGAAACCTATTCTAATTTCTCACACCATATACGCACTTCTTTCCGTTTACTCAAATTTCACATACATCAATTTCCATTGAGGTTATCCAGAACATTTTATAGAGTATAATATTGGCCTTTTTCATTATTAACAAATAAAATAGTTTCCTGTACACATGAAAAGAAGCTGCTGTAAAGTCAGAGATGGGTCAATAATTTACACTCATGTTTGTTGATTATACATTAAAAAAAATCCAAGTGCTATACTTCGAAACAGTGACGAATACAGATTCATTGAAATAGATATAAGACAAAAACTAATATTGTAATAATACTATATATCCAGTTCTTAGAATTAGTCGCAGGAAAACATCTCGGCTATAAGTGCTAGATGAATCTTCTATGACGAAAGATGCATCGTCACAGAATCACTTCAATATTGATGTCAATTCAAGATGGATTTAATATTAAACAACACGATGACACTCACAGTGATAGGTTAATTTTTTTCATTTTCAGTCTAAAAATATCCATCTGTGAATGCTTTACATATAACATGTTTTATATGTAATGTACGAGTATTTTACATTGTACATGCACGTATGCCTTAATTTAGCAGGTATATGAGCGTAGGAAAGTCATGTGACAAAATTCCACTCACTCTAGGACTATTTCTGACCCAGCACTACCATTCTGTGACAGACTGAATGAAATTCGAATTCCCTTAACAGTGTTTTCGACAATGCACTTGCTGCACCTGTCCACGTGACACAGCTTCACACAGCACGGTGGCATGTGATTCTCCTTAATGTGCTTCAACCAGAACAGGTGACTATAGAAGCTCTTCTTACACGAGATGCAGGGAAACACGGGCGTCGACACGCTCACGGGGCGAGCCTTTGCATTGAATCTGTTGAACACTGTCACCTCGGCTGTGTTGCTACTGGTCGGTGGCAGGTTGCTGATGTTCTGGAATAGCGCGACAGGAACGGGACCGGCCGATCCTGACGCCACAGGCTGAACGAGTGACGGAATCGACTGCGGCTGTGGAGGCGGTGGCTGCCTGCGCGGCTGCGGCACAGACGTTACGGCCTTGTTCGCTGCCATGCCACTGCTGTACACGTTGCTCTTATGGATCTTCTGGAAGTGCCGCTCTAGACCCTTTATGGTGAAGAAGCGAGAGCTGCACAGGGAACACTTGAGAGGAGGAGGCTGCTTGACATCAGCCACCTCGATGTGGTGAATCCACAGTATGTGCCGCTGCAGAGATTCCAAGTCCTTAATGTAGCCATCACAGATCTCGCACACGACAAACGTGGACATGTTTGGGACCGACGTCGGCTGCAGAGTGCGATTCGCTACTGTTGTCGTGACGGTCTGCGGCTGCAGCCCGCTGCTCTGCGCACTGTTTACGATGCGGTAGTTCCCACCGGCGTACTGCATGTTGCCTTGACTGTACACGATGCGAGAACTGAGGTAGCTGGGCACGGTCATCTTCGACTGCTGCATGAAACTCTGCGACTGCACACCACGCACTATGGTCTTCGCGCTTTGTGACGCAGGAACCACTAGCGGCCGATACTGTGAATATTGGCCCTGCAGATTAGAACTACCAGGCTTAGGCAGCACGTGCCTGATAGGCTGAACTGGTATTACTGCGAGCTTTTTCACAGGTGGCGGCAGTGGCAATTCGTGTCCTGCAGTGGGTGCCAGGTTACGCTTTAGCTTGTAAGCCTTGAAACACCTCTCCTTGTGCTTGACCACCTTTAGCTTGTTGTTGTCCTCAAACTGACACATGGGACACTCGTAGAAAGCCCGCTTTCTGTCAAACCTCGCCTTGACGTTGTGTTCGGCCTCCATGTGGAAAACGAACGCCTGTTTCTGCCGCGTTTGGTAATCACAGTGACCACACTTCATGTCTAGGTCGTTATACGACGTCAGGTGTGGAAACATGTGGTGCAGTCCGAGCGCGAGTTCTGACTCCGAGGCAAAGCCGCATCGCTTGCAGTGTTTCAGCGGGAAACGGAATGCTTCGTTCTTCTTCTGGTACTTCTTAAGCGACTTCTCAATTCTCTGCAATCGGTCTTTCATTTGATCACACGGAATCTCCTTTAGTTTTTTGTCCGTTTCCTGGAAGCCATCCTTGTATACTCTCTCTGTCACCAAATCCAGACCAATGTCATACAAGGACTGATTAAATGCACCGATCGGACTTTGTTTCTTCATGACTGAAGGCGGTTGTGGCTGGGGCATGCTCTGCGGTGCCTTAGCATGACAAGTAACAGGCTGATTGATGGCTCTACCTACAGGCACCGCAGTTAACGTTGCACCTCGCGACGATGGCACGCTATGATATTTCGGTATCAGTTTTGAATCGTTTGTGACCATTCCACCTCTACTGGCAACACCACCCATTGTAGACAAAGGTCTGCTAATACGTTGATCTTGTCCGACCCCGTGGATTCCATTGGTGGTCTTACGGTGTTCGAAACCGACACCTGCGGCTTTCACCGCCTGGCTTTGTCTCTCTGATAGCTGTGCATGTTTAGTGGCGGTGGCAATCCTTACCGATGACCGTTTGGTAGGAGTGTTAACAGGCTCAAGCACCAACACATCAGCATCATCCTGCTCTCCATTCTGAACCACAGTAATAATAGATTCACGCGGTTCTTTTGCATTAGACTTGATCACTTGATTAGCCGAATTACCATCAGCGGACTCCATTTTGTGCACCTTATTCGGTGTTGCGGTGGCCATTTTCAGTGGTGCGTCACTCTCGCCCTCTTTCACAGACGATGTATTGTTATTCTCTGAATTCTTAATAGGTGCAAAACTAGATATACTACTTTCACTTGCACCTGCTCTAGGACTTTTAACCAATCCAGTCGCTTCCACACCAGCTTTCGACGCACAAGAGGGGACGGCCGATTTATCTGAACTGTTCGCGGCATTGACAAAGTTTTTATCTTGAGATCGTAGACCTTCATCTTCGTCACCGTCGTCACCGTCACCGTCGTCAATTATCTCCACTGACGATTTACTGTTTTCTGAGCTGCAGGATAATTCGGTCACGACTACCGCGTCTGTCCCTCCATTGGTATGCTCTGTAGGTACATCACCATTGCACGGCTCTTCTGAATCCACATCCATAGGCTCGGGTTCCTGCCCTTTTGGTGCACACGTTTTCTCTAGCCCATCTCGTTCCTTCGTCAATCCGCTATCCGCCATTTCTATCGACGAATCACTTACGTGTGATTCGTGCGACATACCATTCAAATGCACGGTTACTTGACTTTCTACATTTGTTTTGATGACCTTTTCTCCAGCGTGCGGTTCAGCTACACCATCAAAGCCACCAGCGGGCGTCGGTGTCTCCTTATTGCCTATGGCTTCTGTACGAAGGAGCTCGTCGATGTCTGGCATGTCATCAACCTCCATGGCCCACTTCTGTCTCCTACTAATCTGAAAAACAATCAAGATAAAGGGAACACGTAAGACTAGGTAGTGATTCTAGTGAAACATTAAATCTCAAGTAAATACAGAAATCCACACTATGAACAGGTGATGGTTTAGCAACAAAAATCCTCTTGTAGAATGTAAAGCATGCATCTATATAGATTTAGTAAAAAAAAACTTGTGTGCGATTCCATACGTGTCGGACGGGACATTTTGATGCGTTATGTAAGCATTTTTGACAGTTGTTCACGTCAGATTTTAGAAATATATCCAACTATGTATTTAAATTGCAACTTGAAAACAATCGCTCAATAATTGTTTGAACTAAGAGAACCACACATAAAGTCATGTGTCGGACGGGGGACACCAAGCAGACATAAAATTTTTACATCAGAAGATATACGAAAACTTCTGTTCTATTACTAACAGGGTAAATCAGGCACCCATGCAGAACCACCACAGATATGCAATCTTTCTTTCTGTCTTTTACCTTTCATCACCTAATGAACAGTTTTTTCTTGTCAAGCACTTATTTCATGTGTTGGACGGGACAATTATAATGTGTCGGACGGGACGGATTTGTCTACACATTGTTTCATGCCTGTATTTGTACATTTACCAGGGCTGTGTCTATCTTTCATTCCCCTAATTCAAAATAACACTTATAAACATTCTAGAAATTAACATTGAATTGTATTTGAAAACTTTACCATTAGGATTTTCACATTTCATAGAAGTTCACAATCTCATAATTTACATAAAACATTTTCCTAAAAAAGTTTCATTTTACAAAATACCAATATTAAATTGATTGACTGCAACCATATCCAAAGTCACAAAACAAAATAGTTAAATTTCTTGAAGGTTTAGGGTGTTAAGAAAATAATAGCATATCATTTCTGGCTGAAATTATAATTTTATTGTCCTATGTTCATGTCCACTTTCACATGGAATCGCCCTTGTGATAACCATCAATTTTTGAAATACAGCCTCACATACTTTTAATAAATGCCACTGGGCACTTGACAATTTTCCTGTGACTGGCGTCATCGTTAGCAAATTACCTGATGTACCGTCAAATTGTAACCGACTAAAAGTCACCAACAAGATCACCAATATCTATCATGTCAGATATTTAGCAACTAAATGCCATCAGTTGCCTACAATGCCTAGTGTGCATGGTGTAATCTGTTTCAAACAGTAAATTCACTGCCAAACAAGCACGATGCTAGATAATAGATGTTACGGGAAAAAAACCTGCCAAATAAATGGCCTGTTGTCCAGTCAGTTCAAGTTTTGGAAAAAAGTAAATTAAAGCAGCACTTGTAGGCTTGGCATCACCAGAAGAAATTTGCCCCCCCCCCCCAAGAAATATTCAAAAGAGACTGCACTCGGTTCGAGTTGTTGGAGTTCTCCATGATAAAATAACCACGTCAATTATCACTATGTGACGGGACGTTACATAAATGTTAGTTGGGCTAGCTAAAATTGAGACACCATCGTTTAAAACGGCATGTTCTCTCAGAAAAATTCATAGATATACCTACTGTGAGCACCTACGAGTGTCTATGTTGTAAAAATTCATTACAGCTCATTTGTATTGCTAGTTTCATAACATTTCTTCAGAAAACCTATTAAAACAGTCCTACGAAACTAGTACTTTCAAACGTTTACAGTGTTTGCACATCTGGTACATAGCCGAGCGATCGCAGTTTTCATTCAAATTGAGATGGGTGAAATGACAACTTTTGCATTGCTTTTATCCAATTCGTCTTAGGCCAAAACAAAATATAGGTGTGGTTACAATTTCCCGACCGAGCCAATTTATTCCCAGCGACCCTAAACATTTTATTGTCAATTTTCTTTAAAGTCAAAAAAAATAAAAATAAAAATGAATCGGACAGTTCCTGCTTCAAAAGGCACAACGCACATCCTTCGGACATGGTTCGTAAATAAAATATTTCAAGAAAATAAAATCTTTTCCCTACCTACCCTATTTTTTTCCGGCATGTAACGGTAACCACACATATATTTTGTTTTGGCAGAGTACAACATGGTAAGTAATCAGTGCCTATATTTTAATTATTTATTGTAAGTATTGTATTTATTGTATTATAAAATATTGTAATATTTTATTAACATCAACCGCATGATTGATGTTAATTTATTTAGATTCATGAGCTATTTACATGTGACCACCGTTGTAGCTACGCCGGTCGGTAATAGCCGGCTCTGGTGTTGGCCGACCGCCACGCAGCTTTAAATAACATCCTTCCGACCGGCACAAAAATGTGAGTTTGCGTAAAATTACCTTCAAATTACTGAGCAATCTACAAATAATCACAACTGATACACTTCAGAATTAATTTAAAAACCAACTCTAGATAGAGTTTAATCTCAACAATAATTGTGTAAAATCATCATCTGATCACATCGTACAGCACAGAGTACATGTATGCAATATAGCACCATGTTTCTATTATAATACTTTATGCATATGACGTATTAGGGAGACCCCTGGAATATTAGCCGGCACTAAAATTGTCCTGGCTACATCCCTGCATGACGCTAGCTATGGCGAAGTTTAAAAACTGCACCAACTAAAAGTTTTTGTACAGCAAGTTTTAAGCGGTCTTTCGATGCATGACTGCTTTTTGGAGATAGGTCCTAACACTACAGAAGGGCTCATAGGGTCTATGTCCCCCAGGGTACTGCCGGAACGTACCCTGGTCACTATTTGGTATGGTTAGGGTTAGGATTAGGGTTAGGGTTATGGTTAGAGTTGGGGTTAGGGTTAGGGAGTAGGTGTAGGCGACTCCCTAGACTCGTTAGTGGAGTAGGCGAGGTACGGTCCGGCATATTAGATAGTACCAGGGTACGTTCCGGTATACCGGACCGTACGCAGGGTACGTTCCGGCAGTACCCTGGGGGAAATAGACCCTCTCAGCTGCAGTAGGGCCTAAACAAAAATGTTATTCTTTAGATAATTAAATCAGATACAACAATAACATTAATAGACATTAAACTTTGGTACTGAAACAATTTACAAATTTTTGAGGAATAGGTTTGATATTCATTGTTCTCACCATAGAGTCAACTATTCTACTAGTAGTAGTAGTAGTAAGTACTATAAGTTAACTGCCGTTTGCAATAAGAGACGAGCTACAGTAGTATCCCAGTGAAAATTCCTTAAATACCACTAAAACGTAGTTTCTTAATACAATTGAACCAATCACGGCAATACAAGTGAATTTTCGTGACATAACTGACGTGAACAGAAACAAGCGAGGATGGGCGTGTATGAACATTAGACTGAAGACTAAAATGCGGCGCATATGTAATTTAGGCTTGGCTACAGTAGACTAGCCTAACTCGAACACTCCTCGCTCACTGACTGAGTAACGATCACACAATAGGCCCTAAAGTTTGGAGCATTATATAGCGATTTACATAAAAACCTGATAACTTGTAACGAAGAAAACCATACCGCTGATAATAAGTCAGTGTTGACAACAAGAAAACTAAATATCCTACATGAACCGCGCTATACGACTTTCGTTTAACAAAGGCTGTTGACAGACGGCGCCAGAGATCACATAGTCATAAATGCGGGAAAATGTTCCTTAAAAGTTCTGATTTCGCAATATAACTCAAAGGACATGCATTTAAGCTGAATATATTAATATTATCAATATACCTTTTGACAGAATTCTCCACAACAACCAAAGTATATGTCACAGTTTAAATAGAATCGGAAGATCAGCAGCTACATTAGTCTATGCTGTACAAAGCCTGGGATGAAAATGGCGGATCCAGAGCGGTCACGTGGTTTGTGAACGTCAACGCAGAAGAGCAGACCAATGAATGTCGTCCATTCTTGATCACGTGGTATATGGCCAATTAGAGCAATTCTCGGCAAACACGTGGAAAATGTCCACCAATCACTGCACAACACCAATGCACGAGCTAAGCAGACGACATGGCTTCTCATATTGTGATATTGGTATCAAAAGAGTCTATCGATTTTCATTTGCCCAAAAAAGGCATGATATTGCTTGACCTTTCAACGACCCAGCAGGTTGCGGCCATCTTGGTTTATGGAGAATAATCAAATAGGCCTAGCAGTTGCTATGAATCGTATGATATAATAAAATTACCTTCAATTTTTCATATTCAGTATCTGGAAAGATATTCAAACACAATCAGTTGTTTAATTAGCTATATTTATAGCTATCATTTGTCCAGCAATAAACTTTTCATTCACACACATAGGGTATGCACTCATGAAGATACAAGATACATATACGCCAAAAGTACATAATGATAATAGAGATTATGTACATCTCTATTATGTACTCTTGATATACGCTGCAGTATTTTGAGAATCTTGCCTGAGAGACATAATAGTTTAATAGTAATACTGTTCATCAACCTAGTATGTATGCAAAACAACAGATGTTCAACATAGACCTTCTTAATCATATAACGCGGTATTCCATTTGAATCATGATGGGTACTAAATGAGTAATTACCTACAGCTAGAATTAGGGATATTACATTTGTAGGGTTTCTGAGAATAACCTGGTAATGGTGCTTCATTTTAGTATGTTTGCATAATGATATCTCATATTTCTGTGTTATCATTATATCTACAAAAACGTACACCTAATAAGTTAATATTCCAACATCGGTTATTTCACAGAATAACAGTAGGTCCGTTAGGGCCACACACAATAAACCTCAACTAGTGATTATAGTAATTTCTTCACGGCAAATAAGATAATGCCTCTAACACTGCAAAACCCACGGTAATATTTAGGATACAGGACGCAAACAAATCGAAGTACAGCTACTCATTATACTGGTTCAGTCATCATTTTAATTTCATAATAAATCCTGATGACAGTAAAATTTTAGTTCATGTGTGACATTTTCTTATAATATATTTGATTAGGTTTTTGCAGATGATGTACAGTCGACACATGCATGTCATGCATAGTCAAAGAAATGCATTTTGTAAAACTTTATCACACTGATTGCAGTGACAGTTGGAATTAGTAAGTACGCCCCTATTTGGTTCAATAATTAATTATTAATAACTTGTCATAAGAAAACAGAGAATATTTTCACCAACCGTCTTTTGTATGAAAATAGATATTATATGAATTATCTATCTTCAGACTATTTACCGTTTATGAATTCAATCGAGCACATGCATACACTAGATGTCATGACTGTCACACATTATTATGACCAGCTCGCAAGCGTGCAGGGTGCAGGTACGCAAACACGCGCACGGCATGTAGGCAGCCGCACGCACGCACGCGTACATCCACGGGGGGGGGGTCACTCTCTATTAGAACATTACCCCCATGTGAATTCTCACTCAAAATAATAGGCGTACATCACTTCTCTCACGGTGCATAAACTGCCATTGACGCCACTCAGCCATAGTCTGGTAAGGCTTCCAGGTAGCTAACGATTTATAAATTCACTCCTGCCTAATCTCTTTTGAGTGCAGCGGCAGCGTGTGCGATGTGTATTTATATGTAATGCGAGCAATCCGTAATATTTGCGACATGCAACCTCATCTTACTGCGCTTGTCGTTAGATGGCGCCACGAATCCATGCCTGCCGGCAATCGGGAACCCTCGGACCATTCAACAGAATAGCGAATTTCACTTTTAGCGAATAACTCTTTTCTGGGAATGACGGGAAGAGTCGAATGGGTTTTCCGATTGTGCCTGCCGGCAAAGCAGCTTAGCTTCCTAGCGTGCATTATTATTCTATTGCCGCGACACCTGACTGTGGGCGGTGTACGCGCCTAACCACTACGTTTTGTCGTTTACGGTATGTAATGTATGAAACTTGGTCACTTGAAAAATTGGCCCGAGTGAAATATGGGGACAACTCGTCGATATTACAAATATAGAAATTACCAATAGAAAGCCTATAAGAATATATAGTGGTCCAAAATGCACATGCTTGCACCATTTTCCGTCTCCGTATTTATTTAAAAAGAAACTCGTGGAGGGCATGCCCCGGACATCCCCAGCGCAGCGCGCTACTGCGTCACACGGGCTCCATAACGCTTCAAATCCACCGCATTATGTTCTAAACAAAAATTGAATAGGTATGGTAATGAGAGACCAGGAGAAAGGAAGAGGGGAATGGGAGAGAAAAAGAGAGTGAGTGAGTGTGAGCGCGCGCGAGAAAGACAAAGACAAAGAGGAAGGGAGAGAGACAGACGGACGTACGGGTGGACGGACGGACGGACGGACGGACGGACGGACGGACGGACGGACGGACGGACGGACAGCCAGACAGACAGACGGACGGACAGACGGACAGACAGAGACACAGAGAGAGAGAGAGAGAAGCAGAGAGAGAGAGAAAGAGAGAGAAAGAAAGAGAATAAGAGAGAGAGAGAGAGGGAGAGAGAAAGAAAGAGCTAGAGAGAATGTGAGAGAAACAGAGAGAAACAGAGAGAGAAAGAGAGAGAAAGAGAGAGAAAGAGAGAGAAAGAGAGAGAAAGAGAGAGAAAGAGAGAGAAAGAGAGAGAAACAGAGAAAGTGAGAGAGAGAAAGAGAGATGTGGAAAGGAAAGAGAAAGGTGATTATAATAATTACGATGATGAAGAATGATGAGAACGGGTTAGGGCAGTGGGTGAAAACAACGAGATGGGGAATAGGAGAGTGTATTCTTATTAAAATCTATTTGTAGAATATTGAGTGTCTATCTCCACAGGGGCCTGCAAGCCTTTATCTTCCATAGAAAGGCGGACGCAGCTATACAATACGTGTGGAATATTCACGAATATGCGCGAAAGATAGATAGAAAGGGCGGTGATGGGGAAAAGATGAGGATAGAATAATTTACATGATATATAAAAATAAAAGAGGTGGACGTGTAACAGAGAGATGGGGAGAGGGAGAGGGAGAGGGAAAGGAAGTGGGGGAGGAAGACAGAGAGTGAGAGGGAAGCGAACAGGGAGGGGAGACGGGGAGGGAGATGGAGACGAAGAGAAAAAGGCAAAGGCAAAGGGAAAGGGAGAGGGCAAGGAAGAGGGAGTGGAAGAGAAAGAGAGACAAGGGGAAGGGAATGGGGAATAGGAACCGTGGAATGAATCGGAGTAGAGGATGTTACGCACTCAGCGTGTCTTCTTTCATCCCTCATATCCAAACCTCCCTCTGCATTTTTAGAGGTGTCGGTATAATGTTAACACGAAATCCCAACGACTCGGGAACGTACAATATAATACACAGGCCCGGTCCCATGAGTGCGACGCCTCATGCAATCCCACTCCCCGCGGCATTCAGGTGCTCTTGAATGAGTACGCAATTTCGTATTTATAGCTGCGCGAAAGAGCGCGAAGCAGCGAGCAGGTTCCAGGGCGTTCTCGAACACGCACCAAGCTTCCACGTACCTGCTGTAACGTTCTAAACACATTGACGGTGCTAGCGCCTACCAGCCAACCACAGCGCGAAACCGCAACCATCGATCGTTCTCGAAGCGTAATATTCTGCCGGTGACGTGACGTCATAGCGCTGATATAAATATTGGCGCGCAGGCCCCTCTGCTGAAAACCTCAAGCGGGATCTTAAGCCCTGTCTACACTAGCAAACTTTNGGGGGGAGAGATGATCAATGGCAGCAGGCAGATTTTAGACATTTTCTGAGGGCATGGTCTGACGGAAGCGATTGAAAAACTTTTTTGTTTCAGCAGTGACCTAGGCATTTCTATGGCTTTATTGAAAGGACCATGAAATGTAATTTCTGCTGACATGCGAAGAGTAAGTGTCGGATAACCTTTTACCCTCAAGAGCGGGTTAAACATGGATTTCTTTATTGTTAGAAGAATTTGACTGGCGGGTTTGCTAGTAGAATCTATACATGCCTGGATGTATGAGACTACAATTTCACAACAGTAAAATTTCAAAAGCTAAATTTGGTTGTAGAAGGTTTATGCTCCTTAAATCGTATAATTTCTCTACGGCATTCTGTACTGTCAGTGTGTTTTACATGTAACGTATGCACTGCAGTGGCCACTGCCAGTGGCCACTGCCAGTGCCAGTGCATGTGTGTGGTGGTACTGTGTAGTTTTTGCCTGCGTTAATTAGTTACTGGTGCAGCTCTCTATTTCAGCCTGTAGGCTTGCGTAGGTAAATGGATGTGTGCTTACTATTCTGTCTTGCAAATAGTTTGTTACTACTACGTACGATGGAGCTTCCATCTTTAATCTGAAGACACTTAAACGTACGCGCCATCTGTGGCAACTTTCATAACGATCCCACGAACATTCTCTTTGAGAAGGTTCCTGATACCATCCCTGTGCCTTCCACTGTGTTTGGCGTGTATGTGAACACATTGGGACTAACAAGGTTTTACGTAGAACCCACCACTCCACCACAGAGTCACCGCAGTAGACGTTAGATGAGCGCTGTCGCTCCGCGGCACTTGTTTTTATTCCTGATAACATGCATACGGTATTGCCCTCAGTGCAACAGGAGTAAAGTGTTCGAACAGCTGCGAACGACTCATGCACGAGCAGATATCAGGGGCAGATCCAGGGCTGAAGCTAGACAGTATTTTTCCCGATTTTAAGGGCACATCCCCCAAAAAGGGCACACCACCCCACAGTGGGCGCCGTTAGGTGTGGAAGCACATGGCGGAGGTCTGGGGGGCCTCCCCCAAGAAATTTCAAAATTTCAAGTGTCCCTGGGCACAAAAATAACCACCATTTGAGCACACATTTAGTCAAGCAGCAATAGCTAAAAACCATATGGAATTTTATTTCTGCTTCATTTTGCCTGCGCTTTGCATACCAGCAATTAATGCAGAATGATTCAAGCACTTCCTTTCTTTTTCAAATATCAAAGCTAGTTTTGTTATAACCATGTAAAATTTTGATTTCCTTCAAGTCCTGTCAATGAATCAGAAGAAAAAGAAAAAGAAATAAAGAATATAGCCAAATTCCATCTAATTGTTTTCTGTATTTTTTAGCACAAAATTTCGAAGGACACTTTGAAATCTAGACCGTATTTCCCAATACGGCAAATACGGTCTGAATCCGCCCCTGGATATCCAGTATGCAGTACTTTGTTATCAAGCCGTCACTCTATCACGGCAGATATGAGGAGAACGGATAAGTAGGTTAGGCTTTTCTAGAACCTACGTGAATGCAGTTCGCTCGCTCGCGCACAGCACACAGATCGACAGCCAGTCACACATCGATTATTCTCGAAGTCGAATGTTCTCGACACAATTGTGACGTCACGTGAGCGCGCGTTATATAAGCATATGCGCTAACCGCTAGCCTGCCAGTTAGAGTCGTAGATCTTCGCTCGAAATCTACAAGCCTGGTGAACTAACTGCAACGTGCGCGACTACTAGTAGCATGTCTCTGCTACCGTTTCTCATCGTCGACGAGCCGTGGGGCAGCTCGGCGTCAACCGTCATGCATGATTTCGACCGGGACATGCAGCGGTTTTACGACAACATGCGCCGCTTTCAGAACGACGTCAACCAAACGCAGCGGCGCCAGGCGTCCGGCATGAACATGCAGCCGTTCGCGAGGGAGGGCGTCATGACGAGGGACGTGGTCGAGGAAGGCGGCCAGAAGAAGCTGCAGATGCACTTCGACGTGCGCAACTATCGTCCGGAGGAGATCAAAGTGCAAGTGGACGGTAACATGCTCAAGGTGTGTGCCAGCCACGAGGAGAAGACCGAAAACGGGGAGATATTTCGGCAGTTCAGTCGCCAGTTTACTGTTCCCGATAACGTCAACCCAGAAGCACTGAAGTCGATGCTGACACCAGAGGGCGTATTGAACATCGAAGCACCCTACATGGCTCTGGAGGCACCGAAGGAACCCACTGCCATCCCGATTGACTTCGTAAAGAAATAAACAGACATGGGTTTGCATGTAACTTGAACTGCATGAAAGCTTCTTCCTATAATCAGGAGTCTATCAATATTGATAGACTCCTGCTATAATTTGGGACACATTTTTTGGACATGCAAATGCCTTGGTAAAATTTACTATAACGTTGCTAGAGTATACTGCACAATTTTTGAAGGAATAAAGTATTATTGGCATTCCCAAGTTTACGAGTATGATTTATCACGTAATTCCTAATAGCGGCACAAACAGCGAATTATAATAAGCACTACTCTGTCTTGAATATTATAAAAATGTTTTAAAAATGTGTTTTTTGCAAATTGCAATAACATTGCAAATTCAAGCCTTGCTTTCCTGTAGTTAGTATAGGTTTACCACGGTAAGGTTTTGTGTATCAAATGATGATATAGCACATTTTCAAATTTCAAGCAGTTTACTAAGTAAAATAGCTAGTGTTAATTTCATAGTAAGTAATAGTACAAAACTTAGCAATGCTAAGCAAATGCACGATTTCATCCAGCATGATTGTAATTTGTGAATGACATTCAGATGTACACAGGTCTAGGAATAAATAAAATAAATGGTTTAAGTTATTAAACTATATACAGAGTTTTACTGACATTTCTCTTTGCAGACTTCCGTATGCACACACTCTCACGTATGTATGCATTTACACTTTCTAACAAGGCTTATATAATTGCATTACTCGGTAACCAAAAATTCATGACGAGAAATTAATGATCATTAGCGAGCAATAGTGCATACTGAGTTGTCGAATTCACCATCTAGGTGTTCTTTTGATTCTGTTGATGACAGCAACATTACATGAAGAAAATGGGCAAATATAAAATGGACATTACCACAACAATTTAACTACCCATCTTCCTCCTCATCATCAAATGACAAGAGTGTCTTATTTTTCACTTGTTTCATATCTGATTTGGGGTGTTTTTCATCAGAGCTCTTCTTTTTCTTTGATGTGCTGACACTTAATTCTGCATCGTCTTTTCGCTTTGTGGGTTTCTTGAAGATAACTTTATCTAGGGAATGTTTCTCCACTGCAAGTGTAAATGCAATTATTCAAATTAATGTGCATAAAAACGTCTTTGAAACAATTAACTACACGATTATTATGCTTGTTCTTTTTATTGTGATATATCTACAGCTCCCTCTAAGGGAATATATAGTATTAGTAACGACATTTTATACATTTATTTATAACAACCAATGCGAAATGAAACAAATAATACTACACACACATGCACACACGCACGCACATACGCAGTGATGTATGCACGCATATACGTACACATGCGCACGCGCGCACGCACGCACGCACACACACACACACACATCTTAAAACAATTACCAATTACTAGATTATATATTTGATGGTATAATTTAAACAGAAAGGCATATATCGACTGTATGAGAAATAAAGTTTAAACTCGGCAAACGTTTTATAGTTCACCTTCCTCCTGTGGTGTAGTGATTCTATCCACCTCCTCTTGTGTGAGATCATCTTTCTTTAGGGCAACTACCGTCGGTTTCTCATCATCGTAATCATCTCTGTCATCTTCTTCGAATGTAGGTGTTGTCTCTCTCTGCCAATGATGAATAGCACTGCAGTTGCAGATAGTGGTTTTGCTTAGTTAATTGACACTGGAATACAAGCAATAAAAGTATAGGTTTACAGCAACTAACAATACCTATACGTAGAAGTACAATTATAGGCACGTGGGGTATAACACCCATACTGTTTTGAAATAAGGATTTGCCACCTGGCTACATTAGAAATGTTTATGTAAACCCATTGTAAACGTATCACACAGAATGCAAAGAACCCCCACTAAGTGACTTTTAGACATGGGGGATATATCATTAGAGGTTGAAGTACTATTATAAGGAAAACGCCAATAAAATTGTTCATTGCCAAATGTCTGTTCCAGGATTCCTCACTTACACATAGACTGACCAGGCTCTACAACTGTTTCACGTCGTAGGAGCCCAACACCCTTCAATACGAAAAACCTCGTAGCTTAAAAACAAATGACAAATTTCATAAATAAAACAACCATATTACCACATTTGACCCGACTTGTTACATGGTGCACGTGCAATCTCACATATCGCACATTTCTTAACCGGTATTTGACTCAGTATTCATGTTCTAGTGAGACAATTTGAACACAATTTTTTTTTTAAATTGGCAAACTCCATACTTGAATCACTACACATGCACGAGAACTAGGCAGGAATGCAGTGTGAGCGAAAATCATGCAGATTTCAAACAGTAATGACTGCCTTGTTTAAATTTCTCCCTTATCAAATCTCATAAATGCTCGCTGACACTTAAATACATACTTTGCAATAGCGCACATGGTTAATAATGTCATGAAAGTACAGGGAAGCGATATTAAAGCTGAGAGGGTCTATGTCTCCCTGTGTACTGCCGGAACGTACCCTGGGTACGGTTCGGTATACCGGAACGTAACCTGGGTACGGTTCGGTATACCGGAACGTACCCTGGTAAGTGGTAACTATCTAATATGCCGGACCGTACTTCGCCTACTCCAAACCGTACCCAGTTTTCAGTCCCCTCGACCGACTGTTGGCAGGAAGCGTACCGCTTTACGGCAATAGTCTAGGCTTGTTTCCGGTACATGTGGTACATGTGGTAACTATCTGGGTGCTCGCAGTGTACGCATGCGCGAAAATGTCGTAAACATTACGAAAGGAAAACGCATTCCCGATCATCGCGATATTTGCAAAAGGATTGCGTGCATCAGTGTATATAGGTTAAAATTTCTTCTTGGTTTCACAGTTTCATACTCCAATCCAACTTTATAACGATATAAAGATTGGCGGTCTGTATGTATATTTCAAATGTTGCGACATCAGTAGTGGACGGAACAGGGACAGTCAGGGTACGGTGAGGAGTAAGCGAGGTACGGTCCGGCATATCAGATAGTTACCAGGGTACGTTCCGGCAGTACCCAGGGAGACATAGACCCTATGAGCAATATTAAGAGCTATCATGACATGTTAGGTTTTGGTACGTTTTGGTACGTTTTATTACAACACTTTGTTAGATACAAGCTTTGGTCGCTTCGTCTTTTTGTGACCTCGCCACATAGTGAAAAGCAAGAAGGTAACTTGTGGCTAACTTACATGGCTTAATTGACTGTATAATTAAAACCAGTAACTCATAAACTACAAAACGACTGAGTGAAGTACAAAACAAGACTTAGTGTGAACTGAAGAGAAAACGAAAATAAATACTAGTTTTGTCTGTCTTCTATCATCTATGTGGGGCAGAAAAAATAAGCATAATTATTTAATAATACTATCTGCTCAAAATACAGGGAAATAAAATTCGCAGTGGTTACGCGTCTGGAACCGGTCGCCTAGCCTCCAGGCTACGCATTGCTGCCGTCTATCCTTTCATCCGTCCCATATCTCTCTCTCTCTCTCTCACGCACAGCTCTCTCTCTCTCTCTCTCTCTCTTACGCACAGCTCTCTCTCTCGCACACGCACAGCTCTCTCACACACACACACACACACACACACACGCACACACGCGCACACGCACACAACGCACGCGCACGCACGCACGCATGCACGCACGCACGCACGCACACACACACACACACAGACCTCTAGATCCATCTCTCTCTCTCACGGACCTCTAGCTCTCGCTCTCTCTCTCTCACAGACCTCTAGCTCTCGCTCTCTCTCTCTCACAGACCTCTAGCTCTCTCTCTCTCACAGACCTCTAGCTCTCGCTCTCTCGCTCACAGACCTCTAGCTCTCGCTCTCTCTCTTTCACAGACCTCTAGCTCTCGCTCTCTCTCACAGACCTCTACTAGCTCTATCTCTGTCTCGCTCAACCCCCCCCCACCCCACACACACACTGGGCAATCAGCAGAGCGTCCCGTAGCGCAATCATGCGTGTACGTGTCGCAAGATCACTGTGTGCGATGGATGTCCGGACGCGTAGCCTAGAGGCTCCTCGTCCGTAACAGGTCGCTTAGCCACGGCCAATAAAATTGACTAGTATTAGTAACTGTAATAGTAGTATTCACTAAAGATTCTCGATCGATCACAAATGCCTACTTTAGACTCGATGGTTGGGGGTTCCTTGTAGCCAACTTTCTCCTTCATTCGCGTTATAAACGAGGGTTCGTTCGGCTTTACGTAAGACACATTATGTTTCTTCCCTGCCATGTTAAAACTTGAACTATTATGTTTAACCCAGAGAACATTAAGATTGCAAAACGTGCTCGACTTCACAAATAACTTGTGTTTTTCTACGTTGTAACTTGTGTTACCTACCGCACCACCAACGCCGTAGACTGGTACCCGGTCCCACCTATCGGCTTAGGATTACCATCGAGTAATCGAGGTGGGAGCGAGTACCAGTCTACCAACGCCGTTTCTTGTCACCTTGTGCATGAATTTAGACTACAACGTGTTTCTAAATAAACACAAAATAGTGTGGAGTAGAGACATAGTACCAGTCTAGTAATTTCTTCAGGGCTAGTCATTTCTCTAACGTTTGTACTAAGACATTTTGGACGAAAATACAAGAATTAAGCGATAGATATGAATTTACAAATTTTTAAAAGGGAATTATTATATGTACACAATTATTACATGTACACAGTACAGTACTCATAATTTACATTCGTGACTATTGTATGTGCGAGGTACATATACAGAAAACATGGCTGCGCCTTACAGTCTTTACCGGTAGATCACGTCATAATATAAATAAGACGACAAAGCTAATGCAGTTTGGTATGAGCTTCCGTTGCAAGATTTTAAAACTTGTTGTGGCACGTCAATCACACTATATTCATGCTAAACTATATTCAAATTTAACAAATCAAACACCTGGCATCGTTTACGTTTCCACGTCCACTGACGTCTTCACGAATTTAGCATGGGAGCAGTGGTGGTATGAGAATGGGAACTTCACATCACACCGAGCATTGCTGATATACTGCAACGATCCGTGTGTAGTCGTTGGACGTCATCAAAACCCGTGGGTTGAATGTGACGTGAAAGAAGCGGCGGTGTCTAGCCTGCCCTTGTCAAGACGCCAAAGTGGCGGTGGAACTGTATACCACGACCTTGGTAACATCAACTGCAGCTTTATGACTTCGCGAAAACATTACAATCGAAGAGAAAACCTCGATTTCTTAGCTGATTTGATCAGCACTCGCTGGGATCTTGATGTGTCCGTGAACATCAGAGACGATCTAATTCTTGACAATTTCTACAAGGTGTCAGGTAGCGCAGCAAAGCTTGGAAAGGATACAGCATACCATCACTGCACACTCCTTGTCAACTCTGGGCTAACGGCACTTCATTCAATTTTGCGTCCAGACAGGCTCGGCTGGTCGTCAAACGCTACCGCTAGCGTGCCATCTCCAGTTGCCACACTGGCTAGTGCTGCAGTGGATATTAACACAGAGTCGGTGATAGAAGCCATAGCAGAAGCTTATCTGAGTGCATATGAAAACTCTGTGACATTAGTGACACCGTCAGACAGCGTTTGCCCGGGCTGGAGTAAGATCAGACAGGAGCTTAGTAGCTGGGAGTGGATTTATGGGAGAACGCCAAAGTTTACGATTCACAAAGCTTTGATACTTCCTGGCATAGCGAGCACAGTGACACTAGAGCTGAATGTTGTTAAAGGGCGAATTGCAGGCATTCAAATTTCGAATGAAGAGTTAACCAACTTAAGCGAAATCCTATTGGCAGAGTTATATTCATGTAGATTGGCTGAAAAAGATATTGTAGGGAGATTAGAGAATGTGATTTGCAGGCCGGACACTTGTCCATCAGATTCTCTCAAGATACTTTGCACGCATATTTCGGACATAGTGTAATATTTTTTAGGTGGGTTTACTAAGAAATTGTTGAGCCTGAATGCTAGCACAACAAACAATATATCAACAGCACATAAACTATATGGTTGATATGCTCTTTATTATATGTTTAGATATAATGCACATTTAAATCTGCCTAGTACTTAAATGTAATCTTGGTCTATCTGTTGCAATGTGTGACTGATCATTCAATGTCTCTCAATGCAGAATCATCGTTTATAATGTTACTGCCTAGTTCCTACATGGGTTCTAAGATTGATGAGTATATGGAAGATGCATCAATGTTCCTGACAACCTACAAATGGATCTGTGACTTTCAGCTAACAAAATTCTTTACAGAGCAAGTATGGGAACGGATTCCTACTGAGGTATATGCACATGTTATAACACAAGGAAACCCAATAACGTTCCATCTTGTTCAAACAAGACAAAAAGTTTATGTTAGTGATGCTAAGTATATATCTGTTAAAATGTAATTGTGAGGTTTACTTGTCTTATGTTTCGATTGTACACGATTGGTCTCATTCTTGCAGTGGTACGGATGTCTAAAAACACTTAGTGTTGATGATTTAAATGAGCTCCCATATGGTCACCAGATGGATTACTGGCCAGAAGATTTGAAGAAATTTATAACAAAGTCACAAGAACTCTCTCTCTGCAGGGATCAGGTGCACATTTTAATAATGCCACAAAAATTTATATGGTAGTGATTGCTTATAGTTCACTTAAATTCGCATAATCATGAACCTCACATGAATGAATTTATGTGTGCTTAAGCACGATTTTTAATATTTCTTTAAGGTTGACTGGCTGCAAAAAACAGACCTTGGCACAGAGGAAAAAAGAGGCATGACACCGAAGAAGGTCCACGAAGTAGAATGGATGTCATCCCTAGTGGCTGATGTTTGTCTCAAAACCCAATGTGATGTAGTCGTCGATATTGGTGCTGGGCTGGTAAAGATATATTTGTATTCTATAAGATGTGCATGCATAACACAAAAATATAGGTCTCACTCCATCACATCAACTAAAGTAATTCATAACAGCAACTCTTCTTTTAATAATTGGGGGTCGTATAACCATGCACTGACACCCAGTTTCGCAACTGCGCAACTGCCGTCAGCAATCAATGCTGTGCTTCGTGTGGCGTGTAAACATGCATCTTCACATTGTTACTGGCAGGGATATTTGAGTCGCGTCCTGAGCAGCATACATGGTCTCAGAGTGATATGCATCGAGTCGGACGGTTCAAGGACTCTTGGAGCTGAGCGGCGTGCAAACAGACATTCTCCCACGAGCAAGCCGCAGTGCATTACCCAACAACTAACATCTGACGACATCGGAGGAACTGTGAAACGACTGCGAACAGTGTTGCAGGGTGCGCTTGGTTGCGATCGATACAGCAGGAACGATGCCAGACCATCTGGTGATGGTCACAGTGGCGCTGTCTGCATGATCGGGTTGCATTGTTGTGGTGACCTCACACCAACAATGCTGAAGGTCTATGCAGAAATGCCAGAAATCCGTGCATTAGTGTGCGTTAGCTGTTGCTATCACAAAATGGTAGATGGCACTGTAATCTCACGAATGAACTTCCCCATGAGCACAGCAGCGAAGAGATTTCTCAGGCAGAATCAAGGAGAAGAACGCAATGTCGATCTCCCTCCATGTCTCTGTGATTCTAATGCAGACTATCAATGCTCTCAGGATAGATATCATACGGAGAGAAGCATTGATAATGTGGAAGGCAAACAGCAGAGTTATGTTCGAGGAACAATGAAATGCCAAGTGCTGTGCTCTCCTTCCAGCTCAAAGTGTGAACAGAAGTTTGTAAATGATAACGCTCAGTTAGGGAACAATTCAGAGAGCAGTGATTCAGCGTCGGATGTTTTTCCCATTGTTAACTCGTTCGCATTAAGACTTGCTGCTCAGGAGACACGGGTGAGGTGGAGAGCACAGACGGCAGATGACCACGAACTTCACACTAGAACAGTTGCCTACAGAGCCATCCTCGAACACCTGGCGAATAGCGAAGGTGAATAGGGACCATATATGAAACATAGAGATCTATATAGTGTGTAGAAACTATAATAAATATGATAAGTATAGTAAATATAACTATATGTAAATATGGTGCAGCCTGTCATTGTAAGAACGTGCACAATAAAATGATGAGCATTTATTAGATAATATACCTAAAATTATACTACTGTAAGCATAACTGTTATTTTTTTATTGATAATCTTGTTACTAGGAGTCATTGTACAGACATGATTCACATGAAACAGCTTGTGGATATGTTTTTTGCATATCTTCACTTTATACTTCACAGATGGTGGGTTTAGGAAATTCCATAGGAAGGTGACGTCAAAGTCATCATTTGAGTCATTTGAGAGCTATTTGGATGCAGCCATCCTGAGAACTACGCTGGATGCTTGTGGTGGGCATTCCCATGTCGCTCATGAAACTGTACCATCCCTTCTTTTCGCTATATTGGGTTTTCTCTCTCCTCTTCTCTCTAAATCTTCCTTCCCCCTCTCTCTCTCCTGTCCTCTCTCCTTCCCTTCCTCACTCCCTTACTCTCACCCTCCCTCTCTTTTCCTATGTGTTTCTCTCACATGTGCATGTATATGTATTTGCGTGCAACTGTGATTATGCTCTGTTCATTTCTGTATATAGCAGATATATTTTCTGTTCGCACTCTTCCAGGTGAAAGTGATCAAAGCGTAAAAGGTCGTCTTCGAGAGCTTTACACAAGATTTCAGCCGTTATTTCCTTCTATTGAAATTATAACAGTAAGTATCTAATGCATAACCAAGTTTATATTGTCTTGAGGAAGGTGTGGCCAGTATACAATGAAATTTTTTGGATGAATCACTGTATATGTATCAGCGGCGTAGCCAGCCTTTCTAAGAGGGGGGATTCCTTCCAAGAGGGGGGATTCCAAACCAACCATATACTGATAAAACTGCATTAAAATTTTCGTTTCATGCTTTTATATACATACTGTATCAGATATGTGCTATTTGATACAAACCAGGGGGGATTCCGGAATGCATGGAATCACCCCTGGCTACGCCCCTGTGTATGCACATATAATTCGTATTGTTCTCTTTATATTTTTATTGAGCAATGTGCATTATGATTCATATGTAAGTATACTACGTAAATAATTAATTAAATAAACTATACATAATATATATTCAAATGCAGGCTCTACAAGTGTGTATGCAGTCAGTCCTGGAATCTGTTCTAACGATCGACAGATGCTGCTTTCTACAAGAGCGTCACCTAGTGGCAGAAATTGCTCCAATCTTCCTTGAGAATATATCACCAAGAAACTTGGCAATTATTTCAAGGAGGAATTAGACTAGCCATAGGACTAGCTTATCGAAAAAAGTGAATTAACTGACTGCATATTTTGAATTAAAACATATTAAGAAACTTATTTTTATCACACATAATCGAAATTTATTATAAAATTTGAGAATATATAAATTTTGTTACATACGCATGTGTGTACGCACACACGCACACACACACACACACACACACACACACACACACACACACACACACACACACACATTTTGTATCCAAGAATGTAGCGGTTTCAGTAGTTTTATGTTACTTTTTTATGTTACTTTCACAATATTTTAAATTAAAATATACGATGTTCAAACATATTATATTCTTGTGAATTCTTATTAATGCGTGTGCGTGCGTGCGTGCGTACGTATGTATGTGGTACGTGCGTGCGCGTGTGCGTGTGTGTGAGATAATAAAATCGGCATTTAGTCAGCATAAATAGCATAAATAGCATCAGTCAGTCAGTTTACTAATAATTTTTTTTACATACATTAAACTTTTAACACAGTTAAAAACTGTGATCTGTATTAATAATTATAAATTACATTTTATTTATAAACAACCAGTGGATAAAGTTATAGTGAAGACTGAAGAGTATAATGATATGGTTGGGAGAACAAGGTTACTTGTCCGGGTTACATTGGCGTACAAGGTAAACGTGCCGTGATGCGTGGTTTACCTATAGAAATATATAGAAGCTATATATTAATAATGATTATTATAAACTAGTATAAATATTGTTATTTATATGGTTTTACTGGTTATACAGATGCTTGAAATAAAATTAAGTAGAAACCTGTCAAGAAGAAAAGTTCAAATATCGAGCCAGCCAGGATTCGAACCTGGAATCTTCTGATCCGTAGTCAGACGCGTTATCCGTTGCGCCACTGGCCCTTGATGATGAAAGTTTAACCAGTCAGCCTGTATATCACGTGCCCACAGCTCCAAGGGGGCTTATGTATGCTCTACATGTTTTGTTGCCATACCTTCGTGAATTAGTGTAATTACTAGACGACTATATATATCTCGTTAAGCTGGGTTTTATGAAGTATTATATCTTAAATGATAGAATAGAGGAGGTTTATACACATAGCCTAGGACATCATCAGGACGTGCGTGACATGTGGATCTGACACTGACTTGAAAACCCCAACGGGTCCCAGACACACAGTGTCAGTGGTCCCAGACTCCCAGCCGGTTAATCAGCTGATCGTTCACGTTTTGTTTACGAGCCGTTTGTTTGGTACCGATGTCATTCATAGGTGTGTCATTCGAGCGTGTTATGTGCGTTTTACAACACGTACTCCGGTTCAGCGCTGACACGGTCATCAATCATACAGATCTAACCATATCATATAGCCAACAATGAACGGAACGGCCGACTTGGTCAAGTCAATCGAAACGTTGACTTCATTTTTACCAAACAATCCCCTTGGTACACCATTGGAATCGAACTGGCGATACATGACAGCTACTTATACGGAATGGGAGATTGCAACTTACGGATCTATTTTCGTTCACGAAGTACGTATTTCTATATAAGTACAATATATGTATATGTATCAGGAGTAGATAATAGGGAATCTACTCCTGATATGTATACATGTATATTGTTAAATTTTACTAATACTATATATACTACTACTACTAGTACTAGCTATAAATATACATGCACTTCTCACTATCAGTTTTGTATAAAATGAGTCGATATATAGTCATATATTATTTATTAATTGATTGATTATTTCTTGCAGGTTATATACTTTATGTTCTGTCTACCAAGTTTCCTCTTCCAATTTATTCCGTCCATGAAGCGGTTCAAGATCCAGCAGGTATATATATATATATCAGGAGCTAATATAATGACAAATTTGTCGTTATATTAGCTCCTGATATATATGCATATATAATCAGGAGTCAATATTAATTAACAATTTTTGTTGGTGCATTTTTATACCCTCAATCGTGATAGGATGGCTTTACCTCGATCCTTATAGTTATATATTTAGCCACACACGCACTTCTCTCCCTCCCTCCCTCCCGCTCTCTCCCCTAACTCCCTCTCATCCCCCGCCCCATGCATTTCCTTTCCCTCTTCACTCCGTCAAGGTTTCCCTCTCCATCTCTGTCTCTCACCTCACTTTAAAATTTTCCTGCTCTACTCTTCAGTTTTTCTGTATTCTCGGTGTTTATCTCCTGCATGTAACTATATCGCTGCCACTGCCAGGGTCTATATGTCTCCCTGGGTACTGCCGGAACGTACCCTGGTACTATCTAATATGCCGGACCGTACCTCGCGCCTACTCCACTAACGAGTCTAGGGAGTCGCCTATGCCTACTCCTAACCCTAACCATATCAGATAGTTACCAGGGTACGTTCCGGTATACCGGACCGTACCCAGGGTACGTTCCGGCAGTACCCAGGGAGACATAGACCCTATCAGCGTAACTATCCAGGGGCGGATCCAGAGGGTTTGGGTGACCAGTTTCCATAGTTCTAGTCACAGCTAGGGGGGTCCGGGGGCATGCCGCCCCGGGAATTTTTAAAAAATTAGGCTATATTTGGTGCATTCTGGTGAATTTTGAGGGTCAATTCTGAAGATACCCAGCCTGTGACCGGTTTCTGGAAACCGGTGCAAACCGGCCTAAATCCGCGCCTGCTATCCTTGTCTAATCTCGTGAATCATGATCGGATGATCTCGTGTCACATGTGCAAGGTCCATCTAATTATAGGCATTATTATTATATCAAATCAGTTCGGCATCGCCACCTATATATCGCCTTAGCACAGTTGCGCCCGCAGATAGAAGCACTGGAAGCACAGTGCTTCCAGTAAATTTTGGGTTAAAAAATTTTGTTCCTAAATCTCTCTCGCAAGACTCACCAGATTGCATCTCCAGACATCTACCATTCAAAAATTTTCAGGGGTGGCATGCCCCCAGACCCCCCTAGCATGCAGCGCGCCTACGGCGCTTGCTTTTTATTATCACTGAGGATTTTATTCTTCTGTGCTTCTACTTTCTTAAGACCTGTGGGCGCCAGTGCCTTAGCATACACATATATAGCCATATATTTACATTGATTCGGCTAATCAGTCAAGCCCTGGCCTGCTGCTCCTCTAAGCAAAGAAATTCGTTTATTAGGGATGCCTATATATAGATATGACGATCGAGAGACAAACTGGAACATGGAAGCTCGATCGAGGGATGCTTACTATAATATATCCTATAGCCCTTGATATCCACAAAATAATCCAAGGTCTTTATATATATGTTTTTTTCTTCTGAATTATGATCTCCAATCTTTTATGTGGGGATAATAATGGTCTTTAAACTAACTAAGAGTTTGCCTTTATAGGATAAGCCAGAAGAAAGACAGTGGGGATGTGTGAAACTGCTTCTATTCAGTCATTTCTGCATACAGGTGAAATTCGATCTTAACAAAATCATAATACAGTGAGAGGAAAATGCACTTAAAACTTAATATTATCAAGATTTTGTAAGTCATCACAATCAATGATAGGTTTGCTAAAATATTGCTGAACATTTTATATAGGCACCAATGATTCTCGGAACGTACTATTTCACGCAAGTGTTTGGAATAAAGTACGACTACGACTCGATACCCAGATGGTAAGTCGAAAGTCGTGCCCGTGAACATCACAAAATAACCCACAATTAATCGATACGTTAACCTGCATAAATATAACCTCATGTCATGTGTGGAAAATCTGACACAAAAGAGGATTTTGTTTGACAGTTACTGTGACTGTGGCTTGTGTGCTGCTGACTATAGTGTGATTTGTTGCTCAGGTATGTACTGGCGGCACAAGTGATAGGATGTGCTATCATTGAGGATACCTGGCACTACTTTCTTCACCGATTGCTTCACCATAAGCGTCTTTACAAACATGTACACAAAGTGCACCATTCGTATACGGTGTGTTTTAATATATGTCAGCCTTTTTGTTATGCGGCATGCGTGTGCTGCAACTAGTATATAATTATTGTAATCGAACTTGGACCAAGTTTTGAATAACTTGAGAACAAAATGTTAACCATATCTAAATATATGGTATCAGGACAAATACCCCCCGGACAATTACCCCTCGGACATTTACCCCCCACCCGCGTCCACGCATCAAAGGACGGAACGTGAGCACGACGACGTTTCTAATGGCGGAGGCTGTTAAAAGCATAGAAATATATGGTATCAGGACAATCACCCCCCGGACAATTACCCCCAGACAATCACCCCCCGGACAATTACCCCCAGACAATCACCCCCCGAACATTTTAACCGCCGCCCCCCAGACATTTAGAGGAGGAGTTAGGGAAGACGGAGAAGGTAGTGGAGGAGGAGGAATAGGAGGGGGAGAGGAGGAGGTAGAGGAGGTAGAGGAGGTGCAGGTGGTGGTTGAGGGAGGAGAAAGAGGAGGAGGGGAGAATGTGTGGAGGAGATGAGAGGAGGAGGTAGAGGTCCTCCTCTACCGTCCTCCCTGTCTCCTTCTCCTCTCCTCCTCCTCCTCCACCTTCTCCCCTCCACGCACCTCCGCACCTTCTCCCCTCCTCCTCTACCTCCTCCTCCTCCTCCCTTTCCTCCTCGCACATTCTTTCCCCCTCCTCCACCACTCCCCCTCCTCTTCTCCTCCTCCACCTTCTCCCGCTCGCCTCCACCACCTTTTTCCCTCCTCTCCACGCTCCTCATCTCCTCCACCATTCTCCCCCCTCCTCGCTCCCCCTCCTCTCCTTCTCTCCACCACCTTCTCCCCCTCTACCTCCTTCTCCTGGCCTCTCCTCAGCCTCCTCTCCTCCTCCACTCCTCTCTCCTCCTCTGCTATACTCCCCTCCCCACCCTTCTTCCCCCCTCCTGCCACGCACCATCTTCGCGTCCTCCCTGTATCACTGTTTAACAATGAATAATAAACACCAAGTGAGTAATTATCCAGGGGGTAAATGTCAGGGGGGGGGTAAATGTCCGGGGGATAATTGTCCGGGGGGTGAATGGCATGGGGGGTAATTGTCCGGGGGTAATTGTCCAGGGGTAATTGTCCAGGGGGTGATTGTCCGGGGGGTATTTGTCCTAGAACCAAATATATATGCCTAATAACAACCTGCTTGCAAGTCTACTGTCACAATCAAAGTTATTGTACATATACCCTGAATTATTTTTATTCCAGGCACCATTCGGTCTTGTGGCTGAATATGCTCACCCTATAGAAACTGTAGGTAGGTCATAGAAACGGTTCAAAGAAACAGTCCTTTGCGACATAATTATTTGTGTGAGCCAACTTCTCGATGACACAGAAACACGGTTAATGCGTAGTAGTAAGTGACATGTGCAGCATGCGTCATTCGGATGTGTCTATTGCGCAGTTCTAGGAATGGGGTTCTTCATTGGCATTGTGACCTTCTGCAACCACATGGTGATGATGTGGGTGTGGGTCGCTGTGAGACTGCTTGAAACCATTGACGTACACACGGGGTATGACATTCCTTGGCTGAATCCAATGCACCTTATCCCGGGTTATGCCGGTGAGTACCAAGCCGTGAGCATTCGTCACAATGTGTCTGTACAAGCATTAATGATAGCACGTCTTTTTACATGGAATCTGCCGGAACTTGTTATCGCCAGTGAAAATTTCCTGTATGTGGAGGGGGAAAGGGAGAGAAACAGAGAGAGAAGGGGGAAGGGAAAGAGACAGAAAGAGAGAGGGGGAGGGAGAGAAAGAAAGAGAGGGGGAGAGAGAGAGAGGGGAAAAAGAGATACAGAGACAGGAGGAGCAAGATAGATAGAGCTTCATACAGATTTATTTCCAGGTTCACGTGCTCACGACTTTCACCACCAGAACTTTGTTGGCAACTACTCGTCTACGTTTGTGTATTGGGACAAGCTATTTGGCACAGACAAGCAGTACAAAGATTACTATGCCCAGCTGAAAAACAAGCAGCAGTAACCAACCACTGCAAGAACTGGGGAATCACATCCTGGTGTTATTCCTTAGCTTCCAGAATTCACTTGTGTTGTTTAGTTTTTTTCAAGTAATTTCTCTCTAGCACACGTTAGCTTACTGAATGAGCTAAAGACTCGGAAAATTATTATAAAGTCATCAAAATTATATCAATATTTCCCTGTAGACACAATGTTAAGTACGATTATGTTGCTGTTATGAATGTATGAATTCATATTCGTAGGTACACCATTATTTACATTATATAATCAAAGTTATTTGTCTTATTTATCATCAAATAACTTTATCTTATTTTTGGAGTTCAATGCTGAAGTAATTGCACTTGGAGGAATATTTATGAGAATATTTGTAGTATATTTCATGTCATTTTATTATGCAGGTTATGGGTTTTGATGACGGTCATGATCGTCCGTCCGTGCGAGCGTCCGTCAACAGTTGGGCACAAATCTAAACGGCTCGACGTACGGATTCGAAAGTCGGGGACGCCTGGGGGGGCGGGGAAGTAACAAAACGAGTTGGGAGGTCCAAAGCCTGGGGGTCAAAAGCGTCAAAGGATCCAAGAGTGCTGTAAGAAAGAACGGGGAACCATGGCCCGTCCTGTACTGTAAGGTATAGGCAAGGAAATGCAAGAAATTGCGGCAGCGGCAATCTAAACGCGTTCGGACTAGGCTCGCTGAATAAGCAACCGGCATGACCGTATGAAAAGCCATCACTCGTGCCAAATCGGAGTCACGAAGCTCAAGACGGTCAACACTGGGCTACAGGGCAGACGCTTTATAACTAATTGCTGAGGGACATGGTCTGACGGAGGCGCTTTGAAAAAACTATATTTTGTTTCACCAGCGGTGACCTAGGCATTTTTATGCTTGTATTATAGGACCATGAACATGTAATTAATCTGCTGACTAGCGAGAGAGCTAACCCGCTGACATCCGATAATCTTGAGGACCGCAAGAGGCGGTTATAACAATGGATTTGTTTACGTCGTCTAGAAAGAATTCTGAGCTGCCCGGGTGCCTAGTCAAGACTAACACCGGCCTGTCCCTCGTGATGATGACGGCTACAGATGGTCACAGTGAAATTTCAAAGCTAAGTTTGATTGTAGAAGGTTAATGCTCTTAAATCGTGATAATTCCATGGTCATTGCTGACTGTCAGGTGTTAGCACATGCTTAGCGGTAATCCGCCACTCCCAACCGTGGCCAACTGCCAGTGCATGTGTGGAACTGGGTAAACTGTTAGTTTTTCGCCCTGCGTTAATCCTAGGTGACAGGTCAGCCTCTCTATTCAGCCTGTCCAAGGCTTGCATAGGTAAGATCGGAGATGCTTTACTATCTCTGTGTTTGTGACCAGAATAGTCTGTTGCTACTTTACGTATGATGGAACTTCCACCTTTAACATCGGAACACACCTTGACGTACGCGCCATTCGGGCAAATATTTCATAACGATCCGCCACGAACATTCCTTGAGAAGGTCCTGGATTCCATGCCACCTGTGCTTCCAGCTGTTGGGCGGCGTGTATAGTGAACACCATTGCCGACCTAAACAGTGGTTACCCAGTTACCAATCGCCACACTCCACCTCCAGACGTCACCGCAGTACACACCTCTAGCATCGAGCGCTGTCGCTGGGGGCCGCGGCAATCCCGGTCTGTTGGTGTATAGAAGGTTCGCCTCCCGTTAAGGAAGCCATTCCCACCTGCTTGAGGTAGTCAACCGGACTAGTATCACCTCTAGTCTTTCAACACCTAGTCGAAGCGCCTGGCTATGCATCGTAAATTTGTAAACTATGTCTGCAAAAAAACACCCTCACTTACACGCGATTCGCCCCTCGCAACGCAAACTTCGGAAATTCCTCTGAGAATCCTAAGTTTCTCGTAAATGTGTCATTTAGATCGAACAAGATAAAGCAATCCTCAGAATCGTTTTACAGCCTTACTAATGAGTTTATCCTCATGTAACCCTATACGTATAACCAATATAGCTAGCTGTATTATGTACAATCTCGTCGATTTTGCACCGCTAGCACATAATTATTACAAAACGACGCGGAAGTTCTGACAACAACAACAGATGCTAAAACAAATCTTTGGTTACAATAATTATGGTACTCCTTAATATGAAGTTGCTTTCACGATATCAGTTGCTTCAGCAATTGCACTACGGCTCACAGGGCGCCCACATTATTAGACTTGTATTGATAAACCGGGGTACAGACGAGCGTCAACATGGTAGATTTTTAAACACCTATTACATTAGAAATCGCCTTGGCCATCTAAATTCTGAAAACTGACAATAAACTGGCATCTATTCTGCATTTAAATGGAAGAAGATGTTAACATTATATGAGCATCGCATTTTACATACACCGAGTGCGAAAACTGCCCCCGGCCTAACTTTATGATTCTCGGCATAAGCACCATTTTATGGATTAACTCTTGGCGCAAAATTTTAGCACAATCCTAATGTCACAATAAGCGTGAACTCTAAATGATGAATGAAAGCTATTAGTGTACCTTATTTATCGAAATCATTCCTCTACATATTCTATCGAATACATGTCCCTCAGTCACGCTGGATACCCTCAGACCCACATGAGTAACTCACAGTGGATGGGTTGAGTGGGGGGGGGGAGTGGGATAACGAGGATTATGTAACACCCTAGCCTCCATACAACAGGATGTCAGGCCCCCCTGTGGAGATGCACCTCCACGTCATGCTTCGGTGCGTAAGTCTTCAGCAGTAAACATAGAACCCTGTAAGATTCACAGTTACCAAGAACCTTTAGCCGTGACTATATGAGAGGCGGAAGGGCACTGTAGGTGCAGATTAGGTGCCGAGCCGGTGCGGAGGTGAATGGTGTGTCAGAGGGAGGGACGATCAAACGGATGGTGTGTCGACCAGTGGTTCATAGGAACACAGGGGTTCAAGACTACTTCGACTCTAAGGTTTCCACTATGTTTTAAATGGTGGTGGATGGAGAAAAATGGAGTTGACACAAATCCTTCTGGCATAGGTCAAGTGCTCAACGTGCAGCATCTACCACCCCCGCCCGCACCACACAAAACAATGTCAGATGCATTGCCAGTCATACAATATGTCTTCAGCTCGATCGGCTGTGTGGCTGTTCTTGTGATGGGCAGCCGGACACACAGTGCGTGTAAATAATAGGAACCGCGGGACGACTCATGACTATATCGACGTTACATCAACAAGACATCACGTTTGACTATCACAAAACACGTTCGACATCACTAGAATATACCATATTAATTTCAAAGCATAAGTTTTAAGTTAGAAAACAACAAGAAGAAAGGAAATTCTGCAGCTCCAAGCACGTTGTTCCCCAAGTGCGCCCACGTCCAGCTGGATTAGTAAAGACATTTACCACGACCTTGGTAGAGCGCCGTCGTGAGTGATATTGGCTAGTAAGTTGTCTTGAAAGTATTGCGATACATATTGATCGTGCTTACATAAGTATATCTCGTTAGCATCCACCCTAAGATATATATAATATAATAGAGAGAGAGAGAGCGATTTACATACATAATCAACACACTTATAATACACGTATATTTAAAATTATGCTGGCATATGCATTTCATGTTACATAACGTTGCATATGTGTTTAGAAATTTATGAAGGATTCAAGGCTCACCTTGGCTCTACGCAGTATCGAATCTTTGCTGGAATCGTAGGGACAGTCCTTGGAGGGTATCTCCAGCACAGCAGGGATTGGCTGGTTGTAATTATCCAGTACATAGCGTATCATCTCTGCTACCTAGAGGGTTAGAAGGTATTAGTGAGTAATTCAAACCAATTTGCATCTCTGAGCATGGTAAAATTTCCATAAAGATGTTTCCTATAGGTAGTTTACTGAACAAATGTCAACGTTCACAAGTAAAAGCAATTGGCAATTTCCTGCATGCATGTAAACATAATAAAGTTGGATAAAGCTCTGAGAATTCGAGTTGACAGGCTATTTTAAACTGGTGATCTGATGATTACAGTATTAGACTGACAGTTACATTCGCCGACCAGACACTCAAGCACTCTAATAACTCTGTAACGGACACTACACTATACACTGTTAATCTGCTTCTAGCACAGCACATCGTCTGCACTGAATGATCACGTACGTACATGTATCTTAACGAAGGCAAGTAAACTGCCGAAACGTTATTCACGGACTATATTATTATCTCTGGAAAACATTCAATACCGTAAAGTGACACCTTGTAGCCAAGCAAAAGAGTTAAGGACAAAAGATGATAAATTACACCGTGGTGAAGAGTGATTGATTAAGCACCGGGGTGTTATAAGTGTCAAGTGACATAAAGTCCTTATACGACATGATACGATACTCTGTCTCTAATTACATAATATCCAGCTTAGCAAATGATTACTGACACAACTCACATTTTGATTAATTAAAATAATTGCGATGTCGTCTCTGTGTACAAAGGATTTGAACTGTTCTTCTATTTCGTGAACTGTTGTATCTGTGAGTAATGAAACAAATAAAACACATATTAGAAACACACGTATGAACATCAAAAGTGTCAAGTGATGAGACCAAAATAAATCACCTGAATAATAAAGACAAGCAGTCTGTGTAAGAAGAAAAAAATGCGACCTAAGGCTTTAAGACTCGCAGATGCGCCATTGACCTACATAGGACGTGGGCAATGCACCGCATTAGCAGCATTCTACGATATCGACGCGAAGGTAAAGTCCTTGATTCTCTGGTGGCGTGGAGCCTTTTAAAAGGCCGCTGGCATTGCTGATGCCGAACTTCAATGTTGTCTCTCTGTCCATCGTGAACTCTCGAAGCTCTCCTTCAGTGTCAACGATCTGGCGTGTGTAATGGCGTCTTCCCGCAGTTCGATATCTTCGCGTAGGATCTGAGACGAACAACCTCGGCGAGTGAGGTCTACAATTGTAAATCTAACGTTCAGAATGGAAAGTTATGAGTCAAAAAGCACGTTTATGTCCAGATTATGTGTGGTCCAAATAGCCAAAAAAAACTTGTCGATTGCTATGTACATTAGGAACACTAGTTTGATGCGCTATCCATCATGCATGGATTAGACACAGCGACAGCTCTACGACGGTCGGCAGGATAATTTCCTTTGCGAGATGTTACGGCATTTTCTGGCCAGAAAGTGTTTCCATTGAGCGAAAAATTCTTCCCTAAATGCTAGCGTAGCCTTTCCAAGGCAAATATGCTCGCCTGGTAGATAATTTGTAAAATGGAGGTACCTTAGATAACAAAATCTATTAATAACAAAAATTATATTTCAAACAATGAAACAAATACAATTAACTCAGAATATATTAGATTCCAAAGCTTATTGAACATCTGATAGTACTATGATCTACGCGCCGTTGCAAACTATGATGTGTACTATTTAAATTTTATGGGGCCATGAGATTTAATTTCTCCACGCGCCAAACAAGTCCACCATTTTTCTCTATGAAACTGTTTCCTGGCCACAGAGGATTTTTAGAATCTTAGCGGCCACACTATTACCGACGGGCTCACTACTTGGAGATAGGTATAGAGTTCCGTTCAGGCATTCTACACTCCATCCAGCGATCAATCAGGGAACATCGCCGCAGAAGTGGTCTCACACTCTGAAGAGTGATATAGCGAAGCTAACATTATAGACGACGAACATGTAACGATCAAAAACACAAGTAACACCCCGCATTTATAGCAGCTTACTGAACGAGTTTTTTCCCGCTCGTATATCATATCTTCTCTCCCCATCGGCATCCAATCGCTCTTGTATTAAAAGCATTCTGCGTTCGGGGTGCCATGTGTATCGCATTAACAGTAATGTAAGTGAGTCACTCTGTTTTCATTATTGTCTATAAGCAAGAACATTGCACTATGCACATTCATTGCGCACATCTAAAGTACTACGTCTTAGTACTTTGTACTTGCCAGCCGTACTAAGAATTCACCCGCACGCTGAGTACAATATGCCACACTATTATTAAGACTTACTAGAACTCCCACCTCCAGCATGCACTGCTTCCTGAGAATTCGCGGCCACTGCGTGTACTTGCCGTACTCAAGATGATATTGGGTAGTCTTATGGAGCCGTGCTTTACCCTGAGAACTCACACCACTCTGCGTGTAAACTGTGTCATACTGGAGGATGATCTAAGGTTAGTTCAATTGCATTCCTGCTTTACTGGGAACCTCACCTCTCAATCTGCCGTGCACTCTGTCATAGCTAATTACTAAGAAAACATAGGTAATTCTATGATCCCTGCTGTCTTTACAGAGAACTCCACCCACTCTGTGATGTACTGCGTAACTAAAGAATATATGCGTAGTCTATGATCTGCTTGTGTCCACTTCTAAGAAAAGAATACTTCACCCACTCTGTGTGTATTCCTGCATCACATTAGCGACTCGCTGCACCAGCTGTGCCGTGGGAATCTCCTCCTGGTAGGTGAGATAGTACTGCTGGGCCAGCTTACGCGCACGTCTGAACAACACCTAAGAAACAAAAAAAAAAAATTGCAAATTTCACGACAATCAATCTAACAGCGACTACAATACTCTGACTATTTCACTAAAACGAGCAACATTCCAAAGAAAATGTTTTGTCCAATAAACCGCCTGACATGAGACACAATAACACACTATGCTTTTGCTCGAATGTAACTATCCCCCAACACCTGACATGTAATAATCTATGGAGTTGTACTGCCAAATGTAAAATCGTAAAACAAACAGAGTATGTTATCTAGCATACCGATAAATCTGGAACCCATGCCACTGTTACACGGCACGCTCTAATTGGTGTTTGTGAGAGGAAACATCTGCCACCTTTATGGATACTGTGCTCTTTATCATAAAATATAAAATGTTTTTCTGTTTCTTCTCTGTAGCGATAACGACCCCATTGGAAGCTGTAGGAAATAAAATGTGTAAAGTAATAGTCGCTGAAAGCAATGGAAGATATTGACAATTTAGCCTGTATTGAAAGAAAGGCACAGTTATGATATTACTTTCTTAATGCCCAAGATTCAAAATGCTGTAGCTTATGTAATTCGTCAACTAATGTGATTCCATGCTGCTAAGCTGCCTGCAATTGCTAACTCAATTTGAAGCAGCTTGCCTGATGGACCTAAGAAAAGAATGAAAGTATTTGAAGTAATTATTGCATCAATAAGTGATTGATAAACAATCCTTTGTATTGAGTATTCCTCCCTAAAGCGGTAACAGAGTATTTACGTCTGTCGTCCGGATAAGATATAATGTGCAAAAAAAAATTACCGGACAACCTAAAGCATCGATTCCATATAATAATATGAACCTTATCATTAACCTACCGGACAGATGCTTAGTAAGCTGTTCTTGTAATATTTCTTTTACGCGGATACCCTAGAACATCCAAACTTATAAATAAACTACCACCTGATATACAAAGTCTAACAGCGCAACCCCTACAAGTAGTAGGCAGAGCTGACAATGTCACTTGTAGTTCTGTATCTGTTAACAGTCCGCGCTCGCTCCGCTAAAGCCTCCGGAGTGTCACAGGCTACTACCTCCACCCCCGCTCTGACACTTGGTCAACATGTATCAGTAAAAAATGTAAATTAATGGAGGCACCGGTCACGCCAACTTGGATGAACCTGGAACGAACTGGGAATGCCAACTCGCAGCTCAACAACCGCCAGCGGCGTCGCCCGTCTAGGGGAAACGTGGAATTATTAGACGCGTATATCAGCAGAAGCGGCACGACCGCCGAATCGAGGAGCACACCCGAGTGCACCTCGACACAGTAGTTTAGCATAGTTGTGTCAGAGTCACGCCTATAGAGGGCAGGTAACGCAATACTGAGGAGGTCGTAGATCCGTGACATAGGTGAATCCGCGAGATAATTGAGCGCCGTGATGCGACCGAAAAATCGCCGTGATCTGGAGTGTCCTACCTTTTCTATATATAGTCATTCGTAATGCGACAACAGCACTCCAGCGACGAGGGGCCGCGAGGCCACCATATTTTCCGGGCAATAAGCAGTTGATGACCCGGATATAACGCGTAACATTTATATGCCTCTATAGTACTAGTAGTAGTAAGGTAGGTGACTTATACCGCTATTGAACACTACTACGACTAACAGACTAACCAGCTCTGCCGTGCTCTGATGCTGAGTGGCCTGTGGCCGTGTAATGAGTTTGTTAGTCAAATATCAGTGTCCAATGGTGGAAGCATTAGGTTAGAGTTAGCGACAGGCGCTCGCCTCATCGCTTGGTTGTGTTGGAGAACGCCTGAATGTGTAAGTCACTCAGCGGTCCGGGCGCAACAGAAGTTCCAACTGGGTTTGATTTCTCAACACCGAACCTTTCTCGCTACCGATACTTACTACCTGATAATCCTACAATATTCTGTATTAAGACTGAGATATAAACCTGTTATCAGAAAATTCGAAGCTGACGAGCGGCGTATACTTGAGCGGCCATTGTCTGTTGAGCCGGAGCTGTGACGTCTACGAATTCCCGAAGTGGGCGGATATGCGATCTGGCATGCAAGCGCCGCTCGCGATGGCGGGACCGAGCGTCAAACGAAGGACGTCAAGTCACTGAAAGGCGGCTGCAGTATACCGCTGCTCGTCACTGCGAGTACGAACGTTAATACAGAAAAGTATTGTGATAAACATAGTAAATCTAAAAGATAGGGCGGCGAAAAAAGGTCGTGTTGAGAAAAAGCCAAGTTTGAAAGTTCTCGTCTCTGAAAGCGCCGCAGCAAACTGCATGAGTGCATTCACTGCAGGCGTTCCTCACACACAACAGGATAGGGACGTCTCTCTTGTAACCCTACTTTGTTGGGTTAGCATATTGTATCTAGCTGCTGTGCAGGTGTCAGGCGTGGTGGCATACAGCAAATCGACTATATGATGCTGGGGCGCATATTTTGATGCAGCGTAGCGCGTGACGGTTGTCAATGGCAATGCTTTCAAACCAAGCAGAATTAGTTTGTTCGTGTACGTCTAAGATAATAATATTGGCTATGGTGCAACAGGAATCCATAATCAAATATACTATGCTATCTGAGAAAAACATGATGTCATACTTCGCGTAACAAGAGGTAAAACTTTACCTAAAGGTTAAAGAGAAGGCCTGTGATGCTTTCTGATATGAATTGAGGTGGATGTAGCGGGTTGCAAGCGCTGCTGATTTAAGGGTATTATCTTGGGTACTTAGCCCGGTCATGAATGGTTCTTTTACTGAGTAATTATTTTTGTTTTATATGAACCATGAAATCTAGATATCATATGTCTCCGAACTTTTTTGTATTATTGTTTTATTAAGATTGATCATAACGTCTAAGTTTTCCCGTTCGCGATTGTAACTATGATTTCAGTGCGCTTTGTGCATACAGTTAATACAAATTTCAAAGATGTGAGTGCACTCTGCAATCAAAGAAAAGCTCATTGCAAGTTATTGGCGATGAGGTACGTTTTGGAGCTATCTTATC